GGAGTCATCAAAATCATAATAAATTTGGCCCAGTCTTGGTAAAGTAGCAAGCACTGTACACAGAAAGATGTATATGGGACTCAGGGGCGGCGATCCCGGGGGACGTGGGACACGTGCCCTCCCCTCATTTTTTTTTTAGGGGGGATCGTTCCACCCCCCCCCCCCGTCAAAATGTGAAAAAGTGCCCCCCCCCCCAAAAAAAAAAAAATGTATAGCAAATACTAACTAAAGACTGCAACACACTGTCATGCTCTAGAGGGCCCAAGAATGCAGCGTTTAGAGAAATACAAATGCAAAAATCTTCTCACTCGGTCGCTTCGCTCCCTCGCATAATATCCTCCAAAATGTACAAGGAAGTACCAAGAAAATTGAAATGTGAAAACAGTATACTGCTTGTTTTTATACTAAAGTGTTGCTAAGGAACCTGTGAGGAGGTAGTTATACTTCCGTCACCTTCACCCCTCTCATTCACTATGCTCACTCGCAATTGCGTTCTGGTGGGGGGGGGGGGGGGGGGGGGGGCTTTGGGGGCAGTTCCTCCCAAATGAAATTAAAACGTGGTTTATTTCTAATTCGATACCAGTGATTTACAAATGTTGTTGAAATGGCATGATTTTTACCTGAGCTTCCGGGGGCTCTGCCCCCTAGACCCCACCAAGGGCCTTAAGGCGGGCCCCTGGTTGCTCATCTGACCGTAATTAAATGCCTAAAACGCGTGAGCTTTCAGGGGCTCTGCCCCCTGGACCCCACCAAGGGCCCTAAGGCGGCCCCTCGATGCTCTGATCGTAATTAAATGTCTAAAACGTTCCTAGGGCATGCGTAACATGTAAGAGTGGTGGTGACGCATATTTTGTTCTGCCCCCTCCCCCCCCCCCCCAAAAAAAAAGTTTTTGCTCATTACGCCACTGCTCCCTCGTCCCTCGTATTTCTTCCCCCCGTCATGAAAAGAAATCGCCGCCCCTGATGGGACTACACAAATGGTGTCGGGGGCCGGACACCTTGATTTCCTTATTTTTCTATGCTCATTACTCAGCCATTATACATTTTATACCAAAATTGTTTGGCAAATGACATTTATTTGTAATCTTGAACATTCAGTGTAAGTTTCGTTTGATTATGTGAGAATTTTTTTTTTTTTTTTTTTTACCAGAACTCAAGTTTATCTTTAAAGGGATTGAATTCCGTTGCAGAGGGCGCTACACAAAATAATTTGTTTGTGAGATAATGAAAAACTGAGTGTCAAGTTTGAAAGCACATACAATTTAAATGACAAAATTATCTTTGTTTGATCAAAATCGGTTCAGAGACGGCTGAAATATCCATAAATATAACGATTTCTAATACTTGTGTACCACCACAAATATTAGATAATTTGAAAAAGCCGTTGAAAAAACGAAATAGCGCCTTACGATGTATTTCAGTGAATGCCGATGTTGGCTTTTTTGTTGGCATTTTCGTGTTGGTTATATTGCTCACAACCAGCCGGCCCATGTATTGTTATTTTTAATTAAATAATTAATTAACCTTCACCGTATTTTTGTTGAAAGAGGAGCTGAATTGGTATGATCGTATTGGCTAAATTCCACACATTTTGGGGTCTAAAATTACCTTCATAGCAATTTTAGGTTCTGAAAGGGCACTAGAAATGTCATAGATAAGAATAAGAGCAATAACCATGCACTTTGAAGGCATTTGCGGTCTGAAAACAGAACTCAACTATCCCTTTAATAAGTCCAATTTTGTAATTTGATTATTTGATGTAAGCAAACCATATCAATCTATACTTAGCATTTCGTTAAACGAAACACATTTTCTTTCCAAACGTGAATGTATCAACGGTATCCATCAAAACATGCGTGTATAATCCGGAGGGGTAGCTGTTCTGCAAAATGCTTTAATTTCCTTTCTTTTTTCAGGGGTAGGTGTTGGGAAGATTATGTAATTTCGTAATCTGGAATTAGTGTTTTAAAACCTTAGTAATTCAGATTTATCACTTCATTAAACAAAACTGAGTAAAATTTTCTATTAAAATGCAAAACATCAAAACATAACATCATAACAAAAACTTCCTTTACACTTCTCTGCAATGTACAATTCTGCATTTTGTTGTTCAACCAATGGAAAAGGAATATCTGTTGTATGACATATAAATCAAATTAACATTGTTCAAATTGTTGTGTTTGTATACCAAGCTTCATAAGATTCAATTTTGTAGTTTGATATTTAGATGTTGGCAACACTTTTTAGTCCAGATGTACCACTTCATTATCATAACAGAAAAATATCTTCACAATTTCTTTCCAAACGCGAATGCATCGACAGTTTCCATCAAAACACACATGGATGGCTGTTTTTCAAAAATGCTTTAATTTTCCTTTCTTGTTTTCAGGGGTGAGAGTTGTGAAGATTATGTAATTTCATCATTGGGGATTAGTGTTTCAAAACCTTAATATCTCAGGTCTACCACTTCATTAACAAAGCAGAATAACATTTTCTTTTAAAATGCAAAACATCAACATTGCTCATCATAACATCATTACAAATTAGTATACAAAGCTTAATATTAAGTCCAATTTTGTAATTTGATATTCTAATGTTAGCAAGTTTATAGCAACACCATATCAATTTAAACTTACCCCTTCGTTAACGAAACACATTTTCTTTCCAAACGTGAACGTATCAACGGTGTCCATCAAAACATGCGTGTATAATCCCTGGCCTGTTTGTTTAGTCCACTTTTTATTTTAACGTCTCTCTAGAATTGTTCCCTTTTTTGTACAGAATCCTAAATATGCCACTTGTTATCAAGTTCACTTGATCAATTTCACAGAAGCAAATCGTTACCATATTATTATGCGATGTAGATAATGAAAGAAGAGTTCTTAAGCTGAAATAAATGAAGCAGGAATCCACAATTATAGGTTTGGAAGTATTAATGAATATTTTATTGCTTTATATACCTTAAAGGCAAAACAGAATCATGTAAATTGCAAAATATTTTCTCTGATACAGCTATCAATCAATGAAATTGTAGCTCACTATTGATAAATACCTATAGAGAGGTAGAGAAAATGATTGCAATCAAAATCTTCACACCTTAAAAACGAAATCACATTTCAAAATCTGTACACATTTGGCACTTATGGTACTGGTTTCGGAGGGGGAAAAGGACACTTTTTGATCAATACTTATTCAAAAGTTAATATCTTTTATCAAACTGATGCTTTTAAATCTATAAAGTCCGAAACTTGTGAAGTCCTTTTATATTTATTCCATTGAACTTGTACAAAAGACAGGTTTTTTGCACCCTTTTATGCCCAAGAGTGTTTAATGAAAGCAGGTAGCAGGTGTGATGCAAAATGACATTACTGCGCTCTCATTTGATTAGAGTTAAACAGTATGGTAGTGTGACCATAGTTCATGGGTGACCTAAGTTCATGCACAGAACCATATCTCCAGTTGCACCGATTTGACCCCAAGTCTAAAATGTTGCTGTTCAGTCGGTAATAATTGATCTAAATAGATTTGTGTTGAATTTGAAAAATTATGGATTGAATATCACATTCCTAATATTTTTTTTGCATTTCCCATAACTGTGGTCACCCAATCATACTTTAATGGGCTTTTATTTTGTCAATAAACGGGGACTTGTTCTTGATTTCATATCATTGAATTGCAAATATAATGTAAAAAGAACAAAAAACATTTTCAAAAATATTTCACACCCTTCAACTTTACGATGTACAACTCACAAACTGCTACAAGATGTAAATTTTGAGATAATGTTTTTTTTTAGTTCTTTGGTGTAATGAATTCTACAGCTCTTTTGAAACCATTTGGAAGATATGACCCAGTACAGAGAACTTGGAATGCAGAAAAAGTTATTTTGCAAAGCAATACATGTTTGTAATTACATATTTCATAACAACAGTCTTTTTCCCTTTTCAGGACTACACACCCTCAAGAAAGATTACCAAGAGTCCTTTTCAGGACTCCTCAATCCTCTCTCTCTCTCACATGCTGCATCCGCAAGCATACTGTATAAGTATATTTTTGTCAAGATATTTCAAAGACTTTCATTCATTCCCAAATGAAGGTAGGGAAAATATACAGGAAATTACTATTTATATCTCTACGACTCTACCTATTTCAAAGCCTAATAAAATGATAAAAAGCATTCAATCAGAGAAAAGATATATTTTAGATATTTAGATTTATAGAAAAATCAAATAATTGCATTTTTTTTGTCTACATATTAAAGGTAGGCTTTACTACTTCAGCAAGAAGGGATTAGACCGCCCAGCGAGCCAGCGAGGTTACTGTGACAGGTGGCTATCTCATTAACTCAGCTCTCATTTAACATAAGAAAAAGAGGATCATGGGGGACCAACAGGCATCGATTGGGGAAGTATTCTATATAGAGGGAGCAAGTAGGTACAAGTAGGACAGTGTGCCTTTAAAGGCCCACTGCACTACTTGTAGCTACTTGCGCCCTCTATGTAACAAACAATGCCTAATCGGTGACCATTGGTCCCCCATGATCCTCTTTTTCTTATGTTAACTGAGAGCTGAGTTGATGAGATAACCACTTGTCCAGTGACCTTGCAGGGCAGTCTAATCCCTCCTGTAAACTACGGCAGATAAGCTTTAATACTGTCACTGAGAAGAAATTAAGAAAAGAAGCTACCTACAAGATTATTACTTAAAGGGATCTGGTTACTTTATCTTAGATCCTTTAAAAAAATCCTTGATTTAGCTCATGCTGCAATGATAATTATAAACCTTAAGGTCAGTCAAGAACCCCTTGACTTTTACAAGCCGATCGCCTGTCTGATTATCAAGATATTTATGATTGAAAATCAAAATCACGTTTTGCGTTTGCCAAACGGTTTTCATAACACTACAGTCTAATTGGGAAAACGAGTATGGTAAAACTGGTCACTCAAAAGTTTTTACTTTTTTGAGGCACTTCTTGATCATTTTGAAGTACAATTTTTGGGGGCTTCAATATAACACCATATCACAGACACTGATAACAGGTAGGGCCACGCATCTCAGATTTAACATTGTTAAACAAATCCCTTTAAGGAAGACATTTCAAGAAATACGAAACAGTAATACAACTTAGACTGAAATCAATGTTTATGATTTAATACGAATCACATATTCATGAATATGAGAATGGAATGATCAGACATTAAACAAATATTCAGAGTGAGGTCTCTATCTCATAGACCAACTCAAAAATACGCCAAAACATGGACATAACGGGTGAGAAGCTGAATTTTCAGGTTTGATTGAGAAATAGGTGTAGAACAAAAGACTTCAATTCGAAAGTTGTCTTAAGACACATTTATTCGAAATTGCTTTTGATGATTAACTAACTCTGTTCACTTTGATGAGGATTTCATATGTATTGTTATTTGTAGGTTTATTTGCACTTTTTTGTATTGTTTAATATGTAATTGTTTATCAGTCTATTTTGTTTGTTATGGCGCTTAGAGACTTCGGTGGTAAGCGCTTTATAAGTAACGTTTTTATTATTATTATTATCATTCAGGATCTTAAAACCTACTTGAAGATTTTCCCCCATTCTTTTCCAAAATCAATTCCATACTCATTTTGCTGGCCATTTTAAGATACAACCTGTTTTTTTTTTTAATATTTACGTATTTTGGAAACTTTCAATATGGGTTGTTAAGCGAGTCCTTGCACCTTAAATCATATATGTAGACACTCATTTTATATTTCCAGCCTGTCCACTAGTATAATTATTACATCAGCCATTTTGGTTATCATGCTCAAGGAGGATTTTTGAAAGCTTTTTGTAAGTTGCATCTATTCCTAAAAGTCCTGAAAATTTCAGGTTCTGTCCAGCATTGTCCATATTTACAAGTAGAAGTAGCAATCATCGGGTCAACGCACTTCCCAGATGACATCAAGAGTTAGACCTTGCAAGACTAGTGGCAACCAAATTGTTACAAGCTAGTCTACCTTGTTAGTTTTCTGTTTTCTCTTTCCCCCTTTCTTTGTCTTATTACCGACCCCCTGATGGCCATCTCTCCCCCCTAGCTTGCTCTGAACAGCCCCCTCTATAGCCGACGTCTGTCCAATGTCCTCGCTTGTGAATTGGAGGTAGTTGAAGCTGATCAGAAACAGGATAAAATGACCGCAGGAGTATATTGACACCAAGACAGGCCACAGGTCAGGAAATCGTTGTGGAGACTGGATAACAAGACTACATGCAGTGAGTGCAATGACCCCTAGTATGGAACACCAGAACTGCATGGGAAAAATTCAAGAGGTAAACAATGTCTTAGCGAATAAGTGTGAGGTGATATAGACCCCCCTAAAAGTAATTATAATTAATGCATTAACAATTTCCTCCAGATCTAATTTTTAAAAAAATATGAAATCCATGGTATTACGTGTGAGAAATGTCTCCAACATTGTTGTCGTAAACTGATATATGTACATTAATTTGTAAGTTACCTCAATAAATTTTTCTTGGCAATGCTTTGCATGCCTCCCATAGCAGCAATGAATGAATTTTCAATGTATTGTTGGCTGGGAAACAATGTAATTTCAAAAACATCCGAGGCTATTGTAGATATGTTGAACTCATTTTGCCAAATCATGCTTGTAAACATACTTTCAGTGGCTTTCCAAATTTTTACTTCCAGTCATCTTTCAATTCCCACTTTGCAATAAACTTGAAAATGGTAAGAGCAAAAATAACGGAATTCACTTCCAAGAGAAAATGATAATGGATACATTTTACAAACTTATTTAAACATGTGAAGTTTGAGGAAAGGATAAGTTTGTAAAAAAAGGAAATCTCCAGTGCTGTCCTTCCATTCTGACAATAAACTAGAAGCATGCTTACAGCAAAATTTCTGAAGGAAGCGGACTGCCCTCTTTGATCTGACGTCGGTGGGGTGACCCATGAACTTTGGCTGACCTTTGACCCGGTGTAGAAGAGCACCATGAGGGGGATGGTTGCAAGAATCAACCCGTCTTTGATTAACAGAGGAAGCATACTGATGGAAAAAGGAGGAGAGAAAACAAGTAACAGTCAAACCTATCTATAGGGACCGCCCAAGGGGTAGTGCTCTTTGTAGACAGGTTCTTTTAGTACATGATTCAATGAGAAACCATTTTCAAGGGAAACACAAAAGTGGTCTTTGTAGACAGGTGGTCTTTGTAGACAGGTTCCTTTAGTACATGTTTCAATGAGAAACCATTTTCAAGGGAAACACAAAAGTGGTCTTTGTAGACAGGTTCCTTTAGTACATGTTTCAATGAGAAACCATTTTCAAGGGAAACACAAAAGTGGTCTTTGTAGACAGGTGGTCTTTGTAGACAGGTTCCTTTAGTACATGTTTCAATGAGAAACCATTTTCAAGGGAAACACAAAAGTGGTCTTTGAAGACAGGTGGTCTTTGTAGACAGGTTCCTTTAGTACATGTTTCAATGAGAAACCATTTTCAAGGGAAACAAAAAATGTGGTCTTTGTAGACAGGTGGTTTTTGTAGGTAGGCAGGACTCACTAAAGCAGGTTTGACTGTATTATGAAATTAACTTCTAACAGTAAAGTCTTTGGTTCATTCTAATTTTTATGTGCAAAGAACACATCACATGGGTAATTGTTTTGCCACCTACAAATATTAGGCATAAATTGAAATAAAAAAGGACCAAAGGCTTTGCGTTCCCCATATGTGTTCATTTTTATAAATTCTTATGTCTTTTGACTTAATTTGGGGATAAACTTTGAAAAGTTTATTCAATTCCTTTTATAAAATACACGTAGAACATAACTGTGTATGTGTTGTCACTCTTATACCTCATTCACAGTGGCCTCAAACACCGCGACAGCAGCGGGACTGTCTCGCTGCTGTCGCGGTGTTGTCTTCAGTGTGAAGGCTCGGACCCGTTATAAACTATCGCGGGATAACACCGCCTCGCGATAACGCCGCGACAAACTATCGCTAGGTTCGCCTAGCTACAGCAGCGGGACAGTCCCGCTGCTGTCGCGGTGTTTACTCAGTGTGAAGGCTCTCCGCTATAACACCGCGACAAACACGTGTGATTTGTTTACTTACCTATCACTGACCTCTTTTCTCCAGCAATGGGGAACATAAAGTGAAATAGAAATAAAGTAACCAGTGGATTCAAATTGATTTTATTATTATGTAGATATTATAATTATCCAAATAAAAATATTTCACACTTCAAAAAATTAAAATATTCTGACTGGAAGCAATAAAAATGCTAGTTTTTTAAAAAGTAATATGATCGAGCTAGCTACATGAGGAAGAGTGTGTAAAGTACAGCTAGCGCGCGCAATTTCAAGCAATCGAAAACCCCGCGCTGAAGTATTTCCGGTCATATCGGGGTCACTCGCGGGTCATGAGCCATGCATACACGTGTTTGTTACGGAGGTAATAAAAATCACCCGCTGCAGCGTGAATGGGTACATGATATTTATCCCGCTGCTGCAGCGGGATAACTTTTCTACTGTGAATGCATTTGTAGCGGTGTTATGGCGGTGTCGCCGCTCCGCTACAACGCCGCTACAAATTTCAAAACCACTGTGAATGGGGTAATACTGAAATACAATTCATAATTCATTCAATGGAGGACCCTTTATATGAATCATATAATTCCAAAAGTAATGTCACAGTGCTTCTACAGTTGTGAAGATTTGGTTTTGATGATTTCATTTCATTTCATTTATTTATTCAGTTCTGAATACGAAATAAAATCAGTATACATTACAACATAAACATATCTCAAGAAATATAAGTTTATTTTTAACAGAACTGGCCAGGGCTCCAAGATAAGAGAGGCTTGGTGCCTTGTGAGCCCTGACAATTAAAGTGCAAGCAAAAAAAACATAATTAGGGAATTCCTGGTGATGCAGAAGTACAGCAATTAAAAATAGAAGAGAAGAATGATAGGTAGTCTTAATGTGGAAAATAAATAAAATGAAATGAAATGAAATGAAATGAAATAGATTTCTGTTTGAGTTTTTGCTTTGAAGGTCATAACAAAAATTTACTTTATTTGACTAACTAAATTGTTCTTTGAGTCGCTACATTGCGTATTGTAACAAAAATTGATTCAACTTACCTGAAGACGGAGATAAGAAGGAACCACGTACATACGAAGGGTTGCTCATGGATAAGAAGGCACACTGGTCTGTAATACAGTCGTAAGATTGACATCAGGGCCGGTATTCAGTTGATACTTTGTTCAAGTAAAACTTTTAGATAGCATTTGGCTTAGCTAAGTTAAATGTCTTAACTTATATTCAGATAATATTTAAGCAATGTACTTTCGCAAGCTTTACTTTTACGGCAAATTAATTACTGATAAGCATAGTGACATCATATTAGGTCAATCAAAAGTAGTGTTGCATTAAGCCTACCAATCAATGCTTCCAAAATAAATGGCTTAAGTCTGCTATGGAGCTGTCTTACATTTAGGGTAAAATACTTGGCCAGATGCATTAACTGAATACCAAAGTTTATTAAGTATTTTATCTAAGCCAAAAGATGAGTAAAAATACTCCTATTTCCGACTATAAAGAGAAGGTGGAGTTCTGGGGAGAGGTGACAAATGCTTTGTGAGCGTTTTTATGCAAGTGTGGAAGAACATCAGCGTAAAATTTTCTCTGAAAAGCATGGCTCTTCAAATACCTTCATATTCTAAATATGACAAGTAACAGCTTTAACAATGTGGGCCTCATTTTTATGCCACATGTTTGTGTAGTCCCACATAAATCTTTCTGTGTACAGGGCTTGTTATTTTTACCAATACTGGGCCAAACTTCTTATCATTTTGATGATTCCAGAACCTTGCAGTACACACCAATATTTGTATGCTACATGATCAACGTTTTCTGATCGATTCCACACCATTTCTTTCACAATGTTATTTCAAGACCAGAACTCAACTTTATCTCTAAGTATTGAATTGAATACTGGCCTTGCATGATTCTCAAGTCTAAGTCTTATTTAATTATATCATTTTGCAGTTTTAAATTTACAGGGAAGCATTGTCTTTACAAAACTGCTTTCCAAAATGGCCTAATCAAGTGACAGCACGGGGCGTACCTGTATATCACAACTTTGCAGAAGACTTATTCTAAAACCAGAAACTAGGGTGACCTGACAGTTTTGCCTGCTAGGTAAGGCCAGCCATTTCAATGTAAAGAAAGCTAAGCAAAGTGCAAAATGTAGTGTTGTGTCGACCACAATTCAATTATTTTTAGACATGAAACTTTCTTGAGTCTGATCACTTACGAAATTCACAAATATTTCAGTTATGCACATGTTTCTGGCTCTTGCTTCCTTACTCCAGGACCTGTGGGGTTTAAAACTGAAGCCTTTTCCCTGGTCTTGATCAAATAATAATAATAATAGGCATTTCTATAGCGCTGTCTATCTAGAAATTCTATTCCGAGGCGCATTTATTATTACCCCGGCTTTAGCCTAGCTGCCGTATACAGCGCTCCAGCATTTCAAGGAATTAATTCCTGCCAGGTACCCATTTACATCACCTGGGTTGAGTGTGGCAAATGTAGATCAATGTCTTGCCAAAGGACATTAGTGCCGCAGCGGGACTCAAACCGCGGACCTTGTGATCGACAGTTCGACGACACCTCTACTTATCTAAGCCAACAATCTACTTATCCCATGAAGGTACTGTTTTCCAACAAAAATTATTTTGTTAGCTAGGTTTATGAAGTTTAGGACACCATGGGTCAAAGAATCAGAGGAAATTAGAAGAACTAAGAATTTATTTTTAAAAAGGAATTGAACTATTCGAAACTCACAATGCTGCTATTAATATGCTCTTCTCATGGACTTGGTAGGAAAACAGGAAGAATACCAAAGAACTGTTGACCTGTCGATAAAAGAAAAATAGCGCCAAGAGTTAAGGATTGTCTAAGGCATAAATTGTAATAGAGCAGTATCACTTAGAGGGATAGTTGAGTTCTGTTGCGAAGGGCGCTGCACAAAAATAATTTGTTTGTGAGATAATGAAAAATACAATTTAAATGACAAAATCATCTTTGTTTGATCGAAATCGGTTCAGAGACGGCTGAAATATCCATAAATATAACTATTTCTAATACTTGTGCACCCCCACAAATATTAGATAATTTGAAAAAGCCGCTGAAAAAACGAAATAGCGCCTTTTACGTCGTATTTCAGCCAATACCGATATTGGCTTTTTTGATGGCATTTTCATGTTGGTTATATTACGAACAACCAGCCGGCTCATGTATTGTTATTTTTAATTAAATAATTAATTAACGGTCACTGTATTTTTTTGAAGTGGGGCTGACTTGGTAAGATCGTATTGGCTAAATTTCACACATTTTGGGGTCTAAAATTACCTTCATAGCAATTTTAGGTTCTAAAAGGGCACTAGAATTGTCATAGATAAGAATAAGAGCACTTTGAAGGCATTTTTGGTCTGAAAAAAGAACTCAACCTTTCCTTTAAGGGCTAGTTGGTGACTTAGCCATTGCCCTGTGACGTTATTTTAGGGTGGTTGGCTAGAAAAGCTTTTGTTCAATTTACATTTGCAATAGGTATTAACTCAAATTTTACAGTGTAGTGTTGAAAAATTGTTCCTTTTGTACATGTACATTCATTAAAATACCTGTTTTTAGTAAGCTTACTCTTCCTGTGCAGCAACTTATTAAAGGGGAAGTCCACCCTGAAATTAAGTTAGTTTTAATAGGAGTAGAAAAATGAGAGAAACAAGTCAGTGAAAGTTTGAGCAAATTCCGATTAAAAATAAGGAAGTTAGGATTTTTGAAGTTGTGATCAATCAAACACAAATTGGCAACTCTATGACGTATCATGCGAGCTCAACTTCCATTTGCTCAGTACTAAAAAAATCTAAAATTTTCATTTTCCCTCAAGAAAAATTTCAACCATACATGCACCCTAAATATAATAATTGCAAATATGTTTCTATACTCCCCCTGCAAGGAACAAATATATATTCCGTCATCAATAACGAAGAAAACATGATTTTATGGAATATTATGCACAAAGCAAATGAAGGAGAGCTCGTATAATAAGTCACAGAGTTGCCAATTTGTATTTGATTGATCACAACTTCAATAATTCATAACTTTCTTATTTTCATTCAGAATTTGCTCAAACTTTCACTCACCTGATTTTCTTATTATTCTGCCTCTATCGAAACAAACTTATTTTGGGGGTGGACTTTCCCTTTAAGACCTTCATAGTAGCTTGCACTTCTGCTGATGCAGTACCCTTAAGATTTCAAGAAGCTTGCAGCAAAGCGAATGAAAACGTACCAAAATTGGTAATAAATACTTTACTGACTGCAAATTTTTTTTCTGAATGTTACAAATCTATGAACATCTTCCGTGGTTTACAATGAAGTGTTCATCTGGTCATAAATCTGAAGACTTACCAAGGCATATTTTAATTTTTGGATCGATGGGTTGAGTAGAAGGTTGACTGCAGAGGGCGCTAGACATATTAAGGTTGAGGCAAGACTGAGTCTGATGAGCAATGGTTGGCTGAGTAGGTTCTTGAGTTTAATGATTACATTCAGGGAGCACCATATATTCGACACCTTGTCCTGTTAAGTAGGGAGTAAAAATATTTGATTAATCTTGATTTGAAATGATTTGATTAATTAGCCTCTCTGTCTTTGATTCAAGTAATATTTTGTATATAATTTTTAATTGTTTTTGTTTTTCCATAGGTATAATTAATAATAAAGTAATTATCTGGAAATTTCACAGAAAAACTAGGTACTGCTTGATCTGCTATCATCCTTAAGAACATGTGGTTCAAGCAGAAGAAGGGAGATGAATATTATAGGTAACAGAACTGCCACAACTTAGATACACATGCTATAGCAATTTATGTGTCATTTTAGCATTCAAATCAATAAGCCACTTCACGGTTGCAGTCTGAGCATGAGCAGATAAAGGTCATTGCAGAACAAATTTTGAAATAAACAGAGACGAAATACTGGATACGCTTCCATTCATTCATGCACACTCAGTGCACTCCATGATACACAGGTGGAAATATTCTTTGAAAAGGGGAAGCAAAGACTACTTATATAGCACCTCCATCCCTGTAGGAGTGATTATTTCAAAATGTACAAAGTGGGACCTCTTCATGTTTTGAAGATCTGTGGATATTCGGGGTCATTGCAGTAATGTGCTAACCGTGAACTGGTCTTTTAATGACAGCTGACTGTTTTTTAGGTCAGTTTGTGGTTATAGACACACATTCAATTAATGATTCTAATTTTCAAGTTTATATTTCCATCCTTTCTTTTGACACTGTAGAATTAGAAAAGAGCCTACAAGATTTTACAGGGAAATGTAAGTTATTATTAGAAATAAAGAAAGATAACTCACCTCAAATAAACCTCTTGCAAAAGGGAATATTCTATGAATCACTTGTTGTATGTGGTCGATATCATGAAGAAATGGAAGCCAACACAAAGCAAAGGTTCCTATCACAAACACACCTATCTTAGCCAGTTTCCATAACCTGTCAAATTAGAGCACAAGAAGAAAAAGTAGCTCATCCGTTAATTATTTTCGTTTCACCATGTTGGTTCAATGAAGTCTTGTTTACCCTGGCATCAAGTGTACTTCTACTTCTACGGTAATACTCATCAACGCCTGTTCAGCATCTAGATGAGGGTAAAACATAGAGTTGTTATATACAGCTCTATGCGGTACAGTTCCTGAAAAGGGAACTAAATTGTTTCAGGAGCCACCTTGAACTGCTCCAAAGAAGGCAGTTCGACGATGATCTGAGGTAGCTCGTCCCAGTCCTTAAGTGTCCTGTTCAGTTCAGTTCAGTTCAGTTTATTAATATCATCATTTCGCAGCCTGGGCTGAATTGCATGACAATTTACAATTAAAAACATATCATATTTCTTTCACAATTGTTTCAAATATACTACTAGTTAAAATACCATATAATTAACAAAGACAATGAATTGTCATCAATAGTTAGATCACTGGGGAAATAACTAAATTTGTAAGAGTCAATTGAAGAGCCTGGTCTCATATATCGTTGTTGTTGACACCTCCTTGTAGTTCGCTCTCTCGGTTTGATGTAATCCGGTATTGGTATCGCAATTCTGTACTTTGTATCACAAAATAGATTTGTGATTGCGACCCAATTATGGTTGTTTTTTATCTTAATTTTTTAGAAATGCTTTACAATGTCTACAATCTATGCACCTGTTAACAATTTTGAAAAGAAAGATCCTCTTCGCACAAAATATAAAAATAAAAAGCTTTAAATGTGATGGTATAAACTTCCTACTACATCGATAAGGATAACATTTTTTTTTTTTTGAAGAAATATTTTAATATACCACATACCAAATACATGTTGTTAAAATAGAGGCAACCTAGTTCCTGTTGGCAATGGGTTAGAGACAAAGTAACTGTAAATGCTAAATTCTCAAAGTATCAATTATTTTCTATAGAATACTACATGTATGAGGAATTTCAAAAGAAACTGTGCCATTCCACCAGTGTAAAACTGCAGATCACGAGAGTACTATTTTGAAGAGAATGGTGACTCACCTTATTTCATCCTTGGACCATAAGCATCTGCCCAAAAGATAGCAGAAGAAGGGAACAGCGTGGTAGAGTTCCATCTGCTTGTAATTCAAGGCCAAAACAAACGCAACCGATCCCAAGAGCTCATGATTAGTTGCCATGGCAACGACAGCCCATAAGGTGAATCCAAGACTGATACAGTTGTATCTGATTGTAAAAACTAGGTTAAGAAGCTTAAAATATCTTCATCAAAAAGTATTAAAGCCAAATGAATACTTAAACTTCATTTCAAGACAACACAATAAAAACATTATTGCTGATTGCAATCATGTAATAGTTATATGTTGTGGGTCTATGTTCAGGCCAACCAAGTGAAAATTTGCTAAAAATTCATAAAAAGTTCAAATTGTTTTTTATGAGGAAATGAGAATATTGATGGTTGTACATGTACATTTAAATTGACTCAACTGGTCTTTTGAAATGATCTACTTTGCACTGTTGGGTGAAATGTAAGGTAATTTGTCTCTGCCAAGAAAATTAGATGTAGGAAATACCTCAATGGAGTTTTTTTTAAATAGTTCTTTTTCACAATCGGTAGAAAAATTAGCTGTTTTGGTAAGCTATTGCTGGCCATGCTGCCAGCTTCTACAGACCTATGTCGCAGTTTATCAAATTAGATAATTTTTCTACTGATTATGAAGAAAGAACTATTTGATTTACCATAATGAATTGCTTTGGAAAATGGTTTGCTTTGGATTGCCATGGTTTAGAATGAAAAACACATGATAGTTCATGATGTTTGTTAATGAAAATTCTTTTTTGACATGTCTGAATGAAAGTTTAGCTAAGATCAAGCCTCATCGAGATGATATGTGCATTTACCAGCTCCATATCCTAACGATGTGGTTCTACCGCTAATTGATAAAATTATGATTCTACATTTTTGCTAAGCTGCGTTTAATGATGAAGGCCCACATCTCTGATATCTAAATAAATTGCCACTATTATGGACGAGTAGTATTACAATTCAGAAAAATGATGATTATGATATTCATTTCACTGACATTCAAAGGATACTGGAAGTGGCCATAATCGATGAGAACGAGGCCGGGGTAAAGAAGAGTGACCGCAGCAAAGGCAAGAAGCTGAATGTTTGACCGGTCCTTCACTGTCCACAAGAAGAAGGCAATCACGGCTGGAATGTACACAAGCAGGTCAGCAACCAGTACTAGTCAGAAAAGAAGATGAACAAACATAGAAATTTAGGCATCAAGCTCGGTGATTAATGCTACAAAATAACAAGTTTTCTTTAGTAAAAAAGTATTACCGGTATATGTAGCATCTGCCAAACTTTCAAGTTTTGTAAAAAGGGTATATTTTACAATACAGTACAACAACAAAATCTGGAGTAGTGCACCAAGGTTGATTAGCTGATATATATCAAGTTTGAAGCAAGCGCCTCGACTGCTCAGGTACCAGTGCTATAGAAAACATCACACCATTAGGCCTTTTGAAAAAGATGTTGTATCGCCCTTCAGGTGCCAAAGCATATATGGGTCGGTCGGTTGGAAATCTTTCTTTTTTTCTTCTCCCTCTTTGGGCTGATATTTTTCAGTTTTGGATGCTTTAATATTTTTTTTTCTCTTCTTTTTTTTTATAAGTTGACCGTAGATTTCAAATTTTTGGGTCGGTAGCAAAGGGCAATACAACATCTATTTTTGTTTAGGCCTTACCATACATGAATTAAAACTCTTCAACATTCTTCAGACAGGGATCATGGATGGTATGAAAATGTTTTTAGTTGTGTATTTTAAAGACGTTCATCATGCCATCCTGAGAGCTTTCATTGACTGATTATTACAATTTTCTACCTGGCCAAGAACAGAATAAATATTCTCTTACAAACTCTTACTCCATGACTTTATCAGTTAAGAATCTCTTACCTGTATATCTCATAAAAAGTTTATGTCCCTCGCTCTCATGACCTCTTGACCTCTGGAGGGCAACCCAGTCAGGGTTCACTTTATCAGCTCTGAGAGAAGAAAAAGAAGAACAAATTACTCTGTATTCTTATTATGTTTGGATTTTCATAAAATCCCCTTTCAGTGAATTCTGATATAAATAAATTGTTGCTTATTTTTATTTTTTATTTGAGCTGATGCCAAGTACATGCGTCCATCCATGTAGCATTATAATGTCTACAATTTTGTCTTTTGAGAGCCAGAAGGGTGTTCACCTTGTCAAGAGACTCTCTGCTACTACCACAACAATTATTCCTTTCAAATGCATTTAAAGGGCCACTCTAACCCCACTAACATAGCCTTTTAAAACGTGAATACACCTCTACTTATTAATATTCCAGCCTCTGATTTTTCAGAAAATCTCTGTATTGACCAAAAAATGATAATAACTATCCATTTTTCACAGTTCTCACGCTTGCTGGGCTACGCCCCTCAAAAAAAGGTAATACGGTCACATGGCCTTGATGACGCATTTTGCGTCATTGCGGGCATGTCTGTTTTGTCCTACAACTTAAGGATCTTACAATCTCATTGTAATTCATAAATGAAACGTACTGGGATTATCAAGTGCATATCATTTTTCGGATAAATGTTGTTTTTTCCCCCATTAATATCATAGTTTGCCTTTTTAAGGATATTTAATGCCTAAATCACCCTCCTTTTCAACGGAGAGGCTCCTGCAGTGACTTCATAAGGAGTTGCGCAATACAGCTCCGAAACTGGGCTTTTTTTCTGAGCATTCCGAGTCATCATTTTTAAAGCTAGATCCAGAATTATTGATGAGTTCTAAGAAAAATCATCGTCAAGTTGGGAATCTCCATCAAAAATTGTTCTTCATGTCTTTTTTTTTCATTTTTTAGCCCGTTTTGGTTAGAGTGGCCCTTTAAAGAATGTTCATGATAACACTAGTTTCTTAGAAAAGCATTTGAAACTGATAAAGCTTAAAGGCATGTGAACATTTTGAAACAATGCATTTAGAAAAATAACCACCCCACCCACCCCCCCCCCCCCCTCATATTTCCAAAAGGTTTGTAAGCTTTTTAAGTACATACTTACACATAACCACATAACCAGCTGTGGTACGCAGTGAGAGGGGGATAATCTAAACCCCAGTATTGCAGGTCATTAGTACTGGTGTTATGATACCTGGAAAATGAGCAAAACAAGTAAGATTGGGAAAGACATTTAGTGTTATGATCTTCTTGGCAAGGTTTCTTTTCAAGCAACAATAGCTCCTGGTTTTTATTTTGTCAAGATATACTAGGGTTTATCTTGTAAGTGCAGCAGTTTTATAGGTTCAGGCTTGAGTTATTGCTGCCATACTTTTTCGAGGGGTAAAGTTAGGAATTTAGTTTATGTAGAGTTGTAGACATCAACCACGGAAAACGTATCAATGAATGTATCATAAAATCATTTCCCCCCCCCCCCATAACTGTTCTCTAAAGTACTGTTCACCTTTTATTAACCTGTTTAACATGTCATTTTGCATACCAGCTATATTCATACTAGATAGGCTTGAACTTCAAGACTCAAAATCAGACAACAACAAATAGTTATAGGGTTGAATTATGTATCACTACATATTCTGACATGAATTATAATAATAATGATAATGTATAATTTACAGTGCGTCCCAGGAAAAACGAAACCAAGAATTATCAATGTTTTATCATAACTTAGTCACACTTATAATTCGTTTTCACTGGCTGCCTGCCGTAGCAACAAGCAGAATTGACAACAGACTTAACTCCGTTTCGTTGACAATCAGCCATGCATGAAGTCTTTTGTTTACGGCTGATAGTCAACGAAACGGAGTTAAGTCCTGTGTCAACTCTGTTTGTTGCTACGGCAGGCAGCCAGTGAAAACGAATTCGTTTCATAAAATTATGGAAAAGCAAGCACTACTTTAAACAAACAGAACTTTGTCATTCCTTGATCATTTTTCCTGATTGAGGTGTCATATGAAAGGGCAGAAACTCAACTTTCTAGAAATGTGATTTTCTCCTTAAAATTCAGATACCGTCCGCCAAAAGACTTTTTGGTTTCCTCTCTTCAAATTCATTTTAACCACTTATGTGGCATCAAATGAAAGAGGAGGATCTAAGCTTTTCAAATATGTATCATTTATCAATTATAATTGCGATTAAGTTATGATAAGACATTGATAATTCTTGGTTTTGTTTTTTTCTGGGACGCACTGTATAGTGCATTATATATATCATTATTATATTTTATACAACACCTAAGTAGATCCTTGTCATTTGACTGGAGGATTGTTGGTCACATGATATTCAATAGATATACTATTGCACGGGGGTGTATATTTAGTACTATTTGCCGTAGTACTATACAACGAGCATGCATTTTGGTTATATGTAAACTGCGTACCTCTCTGCCCTGCGCGTATCCCATTGTTATATTAGTTGTGTGCATCTGACGTGAAGGCAATCTGAATGTAATCGAGAAGGCCTGACTTCAACTTAAATTTAAGGAGTAAAGCATAATATGTTGAAAAATTAACGTTTTATTAGACCTACTTCGATGTTTTATAAAACAAATAATGAATGTGTTTCATTTGTTCAATATTTGTATAATATATATGTACCGGTATAATTATCCATATGGCACATATTCAATTGTGATTTACTATACCATATCCAGAGGCAGTAGACTTTAAGTCTTATAATAAGTAATGAGCTCACCATTCTTTGACAGGTAAATGATATGTCATCTCCATCCAGTGCCTTTGAGCTTCATAATCACCAAACATAGGAGGCTTACCAGCACCTAGAATAAAAAGGGAAAAAAACATATTTTTTTTAATCTGAGAGTTCATATCACAGTCTCAACCTTTCTTGGCAGATTAATGCAGCACATTATACCAAATTTGTATTGATAATCACAGCACAGGGTCTATTTCCCCTCACATCAAGAATATGATAAATATGATAGCGATGATCGTAATTTTGATGACGATGATAATGATTAATGTGATATGATCATGATCACTGTGATTGTCATCATAACATGATAACAATGACGGTAATAATGATGGTAATGAAATGGTAGGTAAAAAGGTGGTGATGACGATGTTAGAATGTTGATGATGATGATCATGATAGTAATGTCCATAATGATGATGGCAATTTAACTTACATTACAACACTAACAAGCCTAAGATTGAGAAGCCTTATGAAGTTTAGACAGAAATAACCATCTGGTATGGGTCATTTCTTTAATTAAACTGACATTTGTTGACATTCCCAGTATGGATAGAGGCGGTCAGAGGAGCCAGATGCAATCTCAGCGGAACAACCATCGATATCAGAGACTGAAGCTTTTGGTCTATATGAAGTTATGACAATCTTTTTTTTTTCCTTCTTCCCCTTTCTACTGCAATGATCTACACAAAGTTTTGTTCCTCCCCTCCCCCCCCCCCCCCCCCGGCTTTCTTCACTTCTCTCTACTAGTACTCTTTTCACACTGGTTTTGCTTAACCCCGTACTTTGCTTAGCCCCGTACTATCCTTAACCCCGGACTATTTTTTTTGGCTTTTCTCACTGCAATTCCTTAGCCCCGTACTAGCCATGGCCTTGGAATTCATTAATTCGCTTCACTGCGTAGTCCCGGACTATTTTTCGTTTCTGTTCTCATTCATTTGCTTGGCACCGCAATTGCGGAGTTAGCAGGAGTTAGCACCACAATTGCGAGGTTAGTCCTGCTATTTTGCAGGGTTAGTTAACCCCGTACTATAGGTGGGGTTAGCCCACTTTGGTAAAAACGAGTCTGAACAGAAAGTGGAATAGGCTTAACCCCGGACTATAGGTAGGGCTAAGACCCCCCTTTAACCCCACCTATAGTACGGGGTTAAGCAAATTTTTGCCAGTGTGAAAAGAAAGTGGAATAAGCTTAACCCCGTACTATAGGTGGGGCTAAAACCCCCCCTTTAACCCCACCTATAGTACGGGGTTAAGCAACATTTTGCCAGTGTGAAAAGAAAGTGGAATAAGCTTAACCCCGGACTATAGGTGGGGTTAAGATACCCTTTAACCCCACCTATAGTACGGGGTTAAGCAAAATATTGCCAATGTGAAAACAGTATTAGAGTATTCTAGGAGTCTAGTACTCTAGTTCCATCTCTTTCTTTCTCTCTCTCACTCCCTCTCTCTCACTGCACTGTCTCTGTACAAAAAGACCTGTCCTTACAGTACATACATTCTCATCGCTTCTTCAACTCAACTTATATTTAATTTACTTTAAAGCTAGCCTAGTAAATTAATTTCAAATCTAACTCTAACTCCAAGTCAGCAAGTGACTCTAGTCTAACTTCAAAAAGATCCAATGCTGCTACTACTTGCACCTTGTTAATTATTGGCACATGCACATTATCCTTGTGACACACATTACACCAAAGTTCTGCAAGAATCTTCAAGATTGAAGGAAGCAGACTAGACTACACCAAAGAAGAAAAAGAAGAAGAAGAAGACACAAACAAGGGAGTAGATCTAGTATGATGATCTAGACCTAAATTAGTTATAGTCTATTGACTATTCTATATTGATTTCTAGATCTAGACCAGCATGACTATAAACAAACACAACTGACAATTAATTTTCCTGTGTCAACTAAAATAAAAGTGAGCAAAGGCCAGACTCATCAGGGGTGAAAGTGAGCACTAAAAAAAAATAGGTTTTTTGTTTTCCCCTCAACCACGCCCCCCTTGAGTAAAAAAAAAGAAAAGAGGATTCGCGGGGAAAAATGGCATCTAACAACATTCCCCCCTTTTGAGTAAGAAAATTGGGATAAAATTGGGAAAATTGGGAAAATTGGGGAAAAAATAGGGAAGAATAGAGATAATAAGAGGGAAATCAGGAAAATCAGGATAAAATAGGAAACCGATTTAAATCAGGTTTTTATCAGGCCTGCTCATGCCTGGGGCGGTATTCTGAATATTGTTGTAATTAAGATAAGATAAAAGATACAACAAATTTCAAAATACCATGCAATTATCTTGTCATATTATCTCCTGTGCGCATGAGGATTAAGCACCATTTTCTAAATAATACGCACTAGATCTAGTATTGCAAGCGCAAAAGTTTGAGCGCAGGCGCAACCAAAGAGATGGTTATAGTGGTTATTTTACCCGACTGCTAAGAACGCATAAATCATTAAATACATAATTTTATACATACACAGATATCTAGTCTACATAATACATAGACCTATTGATATTTATATAGGGCCTAGCGCCTTTACATTAACATGCTCAAAGCGCTTGTAAGTATAAGCAACCAGATAGCCGACGGCTTTAGGTCCTCTCCGAGGGACCTATAAGGATTAATGCCTGACCAAAGGGCACTAGCGCATTGACTTGGTTTCGAACCCAGGTCACCGGATTACGAGACCACCGACTGAGCTATCGCGCCTCCATGAGAAGAGAGACAAAAGATACAACAATGTTCAGAATACCAACTTTATCTTTTCTCAAAAGATACAACAATATTAGAGATAACACAGGGCTCCGAATACGGCCCCTGGTTTATAGTTTTACACTTATTTTCTACATGCACCGACTCTGCGATTGGTTCACCCTGCAATTCACCCGACCATCCCCACATGTTTAAACCTGTGTTTGCAAGTTTAACAAATATTTTAATAAAAAGCAAAAACAAATTCACTTACCGGAGTACGGATTCAAGGAAACACACCATCGTATTGAAACAGCAGCAACAACAATCAAGAATGTAAGTGTCCCCTTGTTATCCATGCTGTCTTGGAGGAAAGCAGATTTTCAACTAGGAAAATTGGCAGCCGTACTCTAGTCTTAGTCTAACACACGTTGATCCATGCATCCGCTGCAACTGGCGCCACGTACGCTGTTCTCTAGTTACACGGGTACGACGTAATGCCACACCGGAGCCAGCCGATGGCGATTGCAAGCAGTGCTGTAGCTTTCATTCATTTTCACGGGCTAATTGGTTGTGTGTAACTTTACATGCATCTCGTATAAAATGGGTGGAGCCATCAGAGGCATGCGCGCGCGTTTAATATGATTGTAAACAACAAAAAATGAGCAGGAGTTATTTTTAAACATTGTGAAATCGACGTCCTTTTTCTTCATTCAAAAGCACACGAGCATATTATTATCCTTAACTTTCAAGAGGAATAGCCTAAAACGAGTGTCTCTTGCTGCTTTACAGTAAGAGTTGTTTACAATAAGCGAGGAGACTGCGATTAGTGAGGTGAGGGAATATAATGCTCTGAATTTTGAATCTGACTGAACTGAAGTGTGCACTCTAGGCCTAATTGAAATTACATTGACTGCAATGCAAATAACTGATTACTGCATGCATGTTATGACTGTGTCACTATGATATGACTGGCGTGTAGGCTAGGCCTACACTGTATAGACTATATAATGTAGAGTATATAATCTACATTGTAGACTTAATACAAAATGTGATGTTGTATTATTGTAGATCATCCATTTCGAAATTGAAATATCACCATGTCCATGGAAGGCATGATCGTACATTCTCTCAGTCGGCATGACATCACAGTCACATGATTTCCCTAAGCCTAAGGCCTATTCTAACTACGCGATCGGCCATTTTGGCGAAGGTGCAAACAAAGGGTGCGAGCGTGTGTTTTTTTTTTTTTCTGTGACATTTTTCGAACTGTTTTTCCATTATATTTTATAGCATTTTTTACTTCATTTTAATTGCTGGACAATGGTAAAAATCTGTTGTGTATAGTCTACGAGTGTTCCAAGAATGCGATGCAAGATGGCCAGCTTTATCGTTTTATAATCACATGCTGCCCATGGGTGCTTGCATGTACGGGCAATTCGATGAATCCAGTCAAATCACTGCTAATTTCTGGTTATACCTCCGCATTGAATCACCAGGTAGGCCATCAGAGTAACCACATGCCATCTTTGATTAGTAAAAACTATATTTCTTCAAAAAATACTTCGAAAAGTAAGATAAAACACGTAGAAAAGGTAATGAAAATTCAGCGTTTACAGTATGCGTGTATGCGCATGGGCATCGAGTTTGCTTTTGTTTGCACAGTCGCGATCGGTTGATAAGCGGAAGTTATGTTTGCGACTGAAAATCCCTGGATGTCCGACCGAGAGAATGTGTGAATGTATTCCATGCAACTGCTATTAAATAAAATGCTTATTCATTTTTTATTTAACTCCTTGATGTGCAGGCGCGGATCCACGGGCCAATTCTACCTGCCCGCCCCCCCCCCCTGCCTCCCAACCGGTAAAAAAAAAGGATAGTAATGTAAAATTTAACTTAAATTTTTTTTTTTTAAAGCGGCTGTCTGACCTCCCCCCCCCCAAAAAAAAAAAAACAAACAAAAAACAAAAGAAATCCCCCGCTAATTTGCCATTCGCCGGCTGGCTGATTCACCACTAAATATTTTCTCAAGATTTTCTCAAGATAGATGAGACGTCTTAGTTATGATAATTACTTTCTATTGAATTTATTGTTCTAACATTCAGAAATGCCTAATTCAGATTTTTTTTTTTTGACCAGTTAAAAGTAGAATAAAATGAATCAAAATTCATCTGAAGCTAATATGATGGTAAACTGGTGCTTTCTTCACCTAGACTAAAAACTTGAAGCCAGTGAGGCTCTAACTTTCTTCTGTCATCAAACTGCATACTGGTAACACAATAAAAGTTATTATTATTAATTTTATTATTGTTACTATTATTATTAATACTTAGTAGTAATAGTAGTAGTAGTAGTAGTAGTAGTACTGAAGTAGTAGTATTAGTAGTAGTAGTAATTGTGGATGTGAGATAACTGAATACCCTCATATACATGTACATATAAAATTGAGGATTAAATACCAATGATTATTGTTTTCCCATTGTTCAACAGGATTCAAAATGGGAGCCCAGCAGAGTAATTACCCCCCGGGGTCATTAAACACCACCACAATGCAAGGTCCCCAGGGCGCGCTCCAATCAGGGGCCCACTCCCCTCTACCGGTGGACGCGGTGCCGTATAGAGGACCCAAGCTAGAGTATCACATGATCAACATCACAGCCAAGATGGATGTGCAAGGTGGGTGCATGTATGGGCAGGAGTTAGTTCCATGCATTTATAGTCGAAACCTTTCTCTTGACGCCCCCCCCCTAATATGGAAACATGAGGGCCATTTTCATCAAAAAAAAATCATAAATCTAACTTCTTTGACATGTCAAAGAATCTAGTTGTTATATGAAATTTAAATCCCCCTCATATTTTTATTTGTTTGAGTAGCATAAATGGTACTTCAAAGAATTCCCTGACGTTTTTTTCAAATTGGTTTAACGCTGGCCAAAACTCTACTTGTATATATGCTCGCTCTCAAAACACCAGTGAATTAGTCTGGTTTTTGGTTTTTGCTTCATTGCAAATTATGCATGCTGAGGAGCAATGAGTGGTGCATGCGCACTACCTGCTGGAAAAACAAAAATATTAAAAACAATGTCTTGGTTTTTTTTCCAGTTTCCACTATCCTAAAAGGTACAGTTTAAAAAAAAACAATGGTTTTTTCTGCAGTGAAAATGGGCCTCAAATTCATGTTTTTTTCATCCTAGGATTAGGATTGGTGTAATAATATTAACATTATGATGAGGAATCAATTGAATGTATGAGCAATAGATTGTATTTTAATAATTGGGGAGATTTTCAGAGGTCCTTTTTTTCCTCAGAAAAGTGGCAGCATTCTTTTATGATCAATTATGTTCATCACTTACGTCATTGTAATTTTCAGAAATAATGAGGCGCTGTAGGACGATTCAGTGCAATGTGTACCGTAGGACATATGACTTTTATCCATGTTTTTCATTCTTGCATGAAAAATCTCTTGATATCAGACTATGACTACTGGCAGGGTTACAAAAAAGCAACAGTATTTAATAGTTGTATCAAGATATTCTTTGTTTGTGGATGATATATATCAAAAAGAAATACACGCTATACAGGAAACATTGCAGGCATAGCCCTGTGATTATTTTCAGCTATAAGTATTGGATATCTTGTATTGATGTACATGTATTTACAGCTGGATTCTTTTCTGGATCCATGGTTACAACAAACGTTGATGCTTACTACCCCACACTGGTTCAGCCATACCAACATGGCTTCAAGATGATTCAGTTTCAGACGATTCCAGGAGTCAGATCACAAGCAGGATGGTTCAGTCAGGCAGTCCCGTTCCAAGCGGTGCTCACAAGAGCAATCGGAGTGTAGGTATCATTTATATCAAATACATTTAGGTCAAGTCCAATTAAAGATAAAGACCAGTTATGGTCATGCGATTGCATTGTGAAAGAAACGTTGTGAAATCGATCAGAAAAGGTTGATCATCTAGCATATAAGTATTGATGTGTATAGCTGCAACGTTCTGGAATCATCAAAACGATAAGAAATTTGGCCCAGTCTTCGTAAAGTTACAAGGACTGTACACAGAAAGATGTATATGGGACTACGCACACATGCGCGACACGTGCGTTTATCTCTCACAGACCATGTAGATAAACTAATTTACCAAATATATAAATTAGTAGGCGGTTTCCGGGCAAAATTTTTATCATGTATTAGTCAAAACATTCTTTCACATGATTGGTAATAAGAGCTTCCATTTCATTTTTTGAAATTTGGGCATTTCTAATACTGGCCTTTACCTTAAAGCTCCTGTCCCAGATATGCCACACACCATATCTAAGACTTTAGTAAATGTCTAACGATTGTATAGTTAATAGCCCTACTTGAGCTTTTATCTGACCGAATATGAAATGAAAGGACACATTTGATGTCAATATACAGTAAAAACTGTCTATTAAGGTCACTCAAGGGAAAATGGATAAAGTGGCCACTGTAGACAGGTGGCCTTTCTTGACAGGTTCTACAACACACATTTCATTCTCGAGGGAGACAAAATACGTGGCCACTACAGACAGGTGACATTTATAGAGAGGTAACCACTATTAAAGACAAGTTTGACTGTATGTTCAGAACTCAGTTCAGAATGTGACGTACATGTGGTCGAGTGGTTTAAGGCGCTTGACTTGGAGATGCGAAGGTCGAAGGTTCGAATCCCGACACGGCACTAATATCCTTTGGCAAGATATTAACCTGCAATTGCTACTCTCCACCCTGTTAAATGGGTACCCGGTAGGATGCGATCGTCATTGTTGGTCAAACAGTTTTTGAGCATCAAGTAAAGCCTGGCTGGAAAGCTCCCAGGAGTGGAGATTGTGCACACATTGTGTGCGGGCAAGCACTGAATCCAATGGCCGGGGTAATAGTATATTTGTATAGCGCTTAGAGACATTTGTATTAAGCGCTATATAAAAATTAAATATTATTATTATGTATGGGTCACCAAACCACCAAATACATGTACCTTGGACTTGCTCTGTACTGAGTTGTTGTGATGGGCAACGTATTCAACTGTGCATCAATTAGTTGAGAGATGATGAACATTCGTACATGTACATTCTTTGACAATTCATCATAATGATGATTACACCGACAAAACCATCTAAACCCTAAACAGTCCAATAGGCCATCATATGTAATGCACAAACCTATTGCAAACATTATGGGTGGTATTCCGGTAGCGCGTACTAAGTTAGGGCATAATAAGTTAGTCCACACTTTTATGGAATGCCAGTTGCCAACTCATTTACCCTGTACAGATTATTTTAATCCTTCAATGAAAAGTGTCCCAAAAATTAATTTTGCAATGAAATGGGTAGAAAAAGATAATATGAGTATGAACTGAATTTCAACAAAGTCTTTGGTAGATTATCTTTGTCATGAATATTGAAGGAGGAAGATGAAACCTAGCATTCCATAGAAGTGTGAACTCAAATTCTTGTTTGGCCTGGACTTAGTCCCGGCTTAACTTATGAGAATACCACCCTATATATTTTGTAATACGTAGGACAAGCCATAGGCCTGAATTCACAAAGGAGGTTTGAAGTCAACCCATGCATGGTTTCATAAATTTAGCTCAATATAAGCGCAACACAGTCAGAGGTCCAATATTAGACGCACGCAAGGCAAGGTATGTTTATTTTGCGCTAATCTTAAACCATGGGTTATGAAAATGAGGGTTTGGACCATATGGGCTAAGTTAAACCTCCTTTGTGAATTTGGGCCATAATGTTGGTCCAGCCCAGCAACAATCAATTAATGTACACAATTCACATCATGACTAATGAAGAACAATAATTTGTCATAGGTGAATCAATTAATTTTTAATGAGGTACTTGACACGATTTATGCAGTAAATTGGATTACATTAGAAATTGGTCTATTATGCTGGTAGTGGCAGTGTAAAAGACACACATACAGTGTGAGTCCAATAAAAGTTTACACCGTGAAAATTGCTAATTATTTTAAAAATCATCTATGAATAGTAAATTATTATACATCTTATGAAAGAGTGTTTTATCCCAAATATTTTGGTATCTATTGTGTGTGTGGTATGTGTTCATGCTTGGATGAACAGGAGACAATGTTTAAGAGAGTGCAAAAATAGACTTGCGCCAAAGTTACATGTATACATGTGATGTTTGAATAAAACAATTGGGATTTGGGTATTAATTCGGTCTTTGCAGATCAAAAAAATATCCCTAACAAAATTAATCATGCCACACAAATCAAATACCAAATATCAAAGAACATTTGTGCCTGTTGGTGTGTGTGAGTGACTTTGTTTCTGCACAAAGCAAATGCAATGCATCTCATTTGATACATTCAATTCATTCTCTCACTTTGATACTTTTGTGCAAGTCGATTTTTGCACTCTCTCCAACAATGCCTCCTGTTCATCCAAGCGTGAATACATACCACACAAAAATGATACCAAACGATTCAGGATACAACACTCTTTCAAAACATGTATGATAACCTTTTGTTCATAGCTGACTTTTAAAATAAATGACAATTGGCCTAATACTATATCATTACAGCATGAGTTAAATCCAGGATTTTGTTTCAGAATCTGAGAAAAAGATACCCAATCCCTTTAAAGGCATTGAGAAAACCTGTTCTTTACATTTCTTTTCAGTGTTATGATAAATATCACTTAATTAAATGTAATTTAATGTCCCCCAAATGACCATGTAGGTCAAGCTATTGTGATCACAGATGAGCAGGACTGAAACTAGAACAAACTAGTTCACACAAGTTATCTGTATTATTATTTCAAGGTTATAAGTTCACCGGTATACGCCCCTTTTGTCTGTTATATTGATATTGTCAACGTCAATGTATGAAATGAAAATTTATTGAAAAATACCCACTACTCAAAAAGGGATTTTAAAAAAAATCCTGAAATGAGTGCAACAGAGGAATTTACCCACAAACCTGACTTAATTGTGAAATGTGTATGTTTTCATCTGTTTGATATGATACCCTGTGCCTCCCCCCCCCCCCCCCCCCCCCCCAACCACCATCAAAAATATATGCCATAGCCACTGCTTCTGTATTGAATTCAAACTCTCTTTATGAATTTGGCCATTTCCCATATTTACATGAAACAAATTATATAAGTCACCTCTTGTGTCAATCTGCTTTCAGGCTTTCTTACATTTTTTAAAATTTTAGACTAGACAAATGATGAACTGTACAGGGTGTATGTATTCTGCAAGGCAAAATGTATAGAACAGAAAGACAAAGAGGCTATGCATTATGTCAACAGATGTTTCCCTTATAAACAAATGACATCATATTGATATTTTTTTTAACTTTATAGGGATAAAGTCCACTCTAGTATTGTTCAAGGCTTCATTCTTTATTCCACATACAGTTTTAATTCATGGAGATGATCAGTACAGGAAACAGATTATATCTATGGAAAAACGCTAAGTACGTGTAGGAATTTTGATGAAGCTGATTAAGGACTGATGGGCTGTATGCCCTATTTATGTTCTTGGCAGCCAAATGATGGCTTCCATTTATATTGTCACTGAATTTTCACTTCCTCCCACTTAGGGAATATCATATCTTTATGAAAGTTCTGCAGTCTGCTCTACTTATTTAACTATTGAATTGATTGCACCTGATAGTGACAGTTAGTAGAATTTTCAGAAAAGTTTAGCAATTGAATGGTGTTTCGTAATGGCATTTATGCAATCAGCCCAAACCCACAAAACAAGTTCTTTTTAATTGTTTCAAAATGTATGTATATTTTTAGGATTATACTGCATACATGCTATTTATTGTATACATGTTCATGTATATTTCATTTTGCATACGGTATATGCACATGTATTAACAATATTATTGTAGAATATGAGAATTATTTGAATTTGGAAGAAATTATTTTTTGTTACCCATTTTCTTCAATCATGAGAGATGGAATCTGCAGATTGTAAAGAGTTTCATTGAGCTTCAAGTATTTTATTCCTTCTCATCTTGGTCTACAAATGGCCAAATGGCAAATACCACTGATGTTATGACAAAGGTAAAAAAAAAGCAAGATAATAATAATTGAAAAAAATGCTGATAATTATAATGAATTAATAAAATAACTGGAGGAAGAAAGAGAGGTACATGTAGAAGGAAAATCTTTTTAGAATAATGCTGAAGTGAAGTAAAAACAGGGTTTTTTGGTCATGGTAAAAAAAGGGTACTTGCTCCCCCCCCCCCCCCCCCCTCTGTCCCCAACATTAAAAAATAGGGGGAAGACAGAAAGGGAGAGGGAAAATGGGGAGGGGGGGGGTCATTTTGTATAGATACTAATGATAATCCCATACAGTGGATTTTAGTAACATGAATTGATTTGATTTGATTTGAATTGAATCGATTTAAATTGATTTTGATCTAGATCATGGATATGACCCATAAATTAAGGAGCCAGACTCGTCTGCATTGAAGCAATGGGGATCCAACAAACAACCTCCTTAGGGTGGGGGGGGGGGGGGGTACTGTGTAGAGTATGAAATGATAATCCTGTACAGTGGACTTTAGTGAAGTGATTTGATTTGATTAATTTGAATTGATTTTTATCCAGATCATGGATATGACCCAGAAAGGAGCCAGACTTATCTGCATTGAAGCGACGGGGATGCAACAACAGGCCTCCTTTTCTTCTGGACTTCGCGGTCATGCTGGCAGTAAGTTGATTTCTTACCCTGCTTTCTACCATGGCAATTTGACTTTGTGCAATGTCATGGAAGATACTGGCAATTTAGGAATTGGGCATAACCAGCCCATATCCGCCCCCCCCCCCCCAGCCAGTATGGAATACCTTTATCATGCAAAAGCAATGAATGATCTTTTAAAATTTTCAATCAAAACACACGTTTAAAGTCTAATCAGAGCTGCCAACTAGTACAGGAATGTTGTTAGATGCCATTTTTTTTTTGTCAAGAGGGGGGGGGGGGGGGGGTGATGGTTGAGAAAGAGAAGAAGAAAAAAAATCCTTCTGAAACAATACCTGGTTAAAGTAAAATGTTCACTTCAGTCTATCTTCCTTTGTTTAAACTCAACTGAGATCAATACCCAAACATGGTCTCATGGACTTTTTAACAAATCACCCTGAGCCAATTTATTTGTGAATCCAGCTGTCAGTTGCAAACAATATGACCATGTATTACCAGATCCGAACATGATTTCTATGGGATCTAAAATAAGGTAATGTCTCTGTATTGTAGAGGCATCATAGTCAAGTGGTTTAAGCACTGACTTGAAATGCAAAGGTCTTGGGTTAGATCCCCAACATGGCAATAATGTCCTTTGGCAAGGCATTAATCTACATTTGCCACTCCATACCCAGGAGAGAAATGGGGACCAGGTAGGATGATGATGAAATCCATTGTGTTAGAAATTGCTTTATACCCTCACAGTGACCATATAGTAGGAATACTCCCCAGGGAGTGGAGATGCTGTATATTGTGCATGAATGAATCCGCTGACAGCGGTTGTAATATTTGTAAAGCACTAAGAGATGGTATTTTAAAGCAGTATATGAATCCTGATTATTGATCTCTGCTATTGTGTTCCCAGACTTGGGCGTAAAGTCTAGCAATATATAGTCCAATGAGTTTTAGTTATAATCATGTCTGTAATTTCTTCCTCGGTCCTATCCAGCTATCGGAATAGACCTACTCTTCCATGTCCCTCAGCACCCCAACCCCACCCCCTACGTCTACCATGGTATCCATGTGCCTATTAGCTACAAGATCCGAGCGGGGTTCGGCCAACCCAGTTACCAATGCATGACGGACCTTAATGCCCAGTTTGGATCCTTTTTGAACCAAGGATGGAAGCTGGTAGAGATTAATCTGGATTCGTCGCAAATGCAGAGAGGTAAGAAGCAGGATGATCTGACATTTGCTCCGGGCTGTATTTCATTAAAGAACATGCAGCGTGTCCACACACAAAACAATTTATCCCGAAACTCTTTAATGAAACATTGTATAAAGAATCATTGTATAAATTCCAGGATGTCCACACACAGAAGAAAGTAATCCTGAAACTCTACAGCGAAATGTCATATAGGTGCGCAGCTTGCTACTGCGATCATGAAATGGAAGCGAAAATGAGAGGTCAGGTCTCCTTTCGCTCGAGGTCACGTTAAGCCCTGCCCAGTTATACAGTTCTAGTTCGACTAGTTATACTAGTTACGTCCACACACAACACATTCCGTGATTAGGCGTGATTCTTTATACGTCGTATAACGAAACGCATGTTTGGGCATTGTTTCGTTATACGAAGTATCGTTAGTAAGCGTCCACACACACATTTACATTGTATAACTATCCCGAAACGGTATAACTAATCATGCCTAATCATGGAAAAATTTGTGTGTGGACACGGGGATGGATAGGGTTGGTGGACTGGACGATGCTGCCCTACTCAAACAGGGGCAAATCAAGCCCTCTCAAAACTTCATGGAATTATAATTGCACACTTCCTGCTCTATGTTAATTTCCTACACTAACCAAATTCTTAACTACACCCATGACACTACACCTGAATAACCAAACCCTCACCCTAATCCAACACGTTTCTATGACCAGATGATGGATCCCAGAGTAGTGGGTGGAGGAGCCAATGTCAGGTCACCCTCCATGGATATACTTGCACGTAATCTTAATCTTAATCTTGAGATTAAGACTCAAAGACATTCAAAGATATTCCTCAGATCTTGACTGAAAAGAGCGAGTGGCAAAATAGAAGCCATCTTGGCTGAGGACATCACATAATGATGATGATGTTACCGTTATGGTTATGGTTGTAATTGGGTAGGGTTAGGGTTAGGTATTGAGTTTGGTCCTGGCTTGAAGTTGGGAAATCAAGCAATGAAGGAGCTTGACTGCTGAATAATTGTTCCAGTAGCATGTGCCGCATAATCAAGGAGGGCCAAAGAGAAATTCTTATAGATATCAGATTTAGGGCTATAATAATAATAATAGGCATTTGTATAGCGCCGTCTAACTACCAGACAATGCTATTCCGAGGCGCCCAAGAAAAATAGTATACAAATATACACTGCCTTGAGAGGTTCTGGTTAAAACTATGCGCAAGAGGTGACTCCAATAGTACTATTTGCTGAGGGGCGCAGCCCCGAAGCAAATGGTACTTTTGGAGTCACCGAGGCCCATAGTTTAACCAGTACTTCGAATAGAAGGCATGGTATATTTGTTTTATATCCTGCAACAAAAAATTATTTAAAAAAAAAAAAAAAAAAAAAAAAAAAATTGGAAGAAAAAAATTTAGAACAAAAAAATGTTAAATTTTATCTAAAAAGATTTGAAATATTTTGTTTTCATTAAATTAAGATTTGAAAAAAAAAATTGATTCAATTCAAAAAAAAAATTCACATTTTTTTTTCAACTCCCAAATAGTAAACCAAAATAGTACTCTCATATAGTACTTTCTAAAAATAGCTCAAATATTTTTGGTCATGTGACGAGCTCTCAACCAATCAGAAGCCAACAAATTTTTGATGCAGGATATAAAAAGAATTAGTTTGGATGAGAAAGTTCGGATGAGTGTCATAGTGCCAAGTACAGGTATTGTTAAAAAAGATAAGATTTCAGCTATGGTTGGGTTTGGTATGATATTGCATGATCAATGCACGAAACTCCAAAGGTACACACCCAATTTTGTTTTTGTAATTTAACTCCATAAATTTAATTCTGTTTTCACTGCTTTGTGTTGCCAAAAGGCGCTCAATGTATCGTGAGGAAAGAGTTATAAATGCATACTTTCCCTTCTCTCCTTTTGATATTCAGCCACTGGTTTCACAACGGGACAGATTTCCATGAATTCCATGTGGTTCTTTGAGAAGGAAGCTGCCTATGTGAACGACCCCACACCGAGATGGCAGGGAACTATTATATCATACCAACACAAAATCAAGGTGAGCATATTCTCTTCTCCTGCAGAGGTAATGTTTGTTTAAAGGCCATCTGTACTAGTTTGGCTAGGAGGGATTAGACCACCCAGGGAGGTCACTGACAGGTGGCTATCTCATCAACTCAGCTCTCAATTAACATAAGATCATGGGGGACCAGTGGTCTAGGATTATGCATTGTTTTCTATATAGAGGGAGCAAGTAGCTACAAGTTGTACAGTGGGGCTTTAAAAAGAATGCAGAGTATTCTATTGAAAATAATGTCACAAACTTTAGACAAAACTCTTGCTTTAGTTATTACATACGGTAATGATATACAAATTATGCAGTCATACAAAGTAACTCTAGTCTAAAAAGTATATTGATGATAATGATAGAGGATAGTAGAGGTGTCGTGGACGAGTGAATATGTCACCGGACTGTGGATCACAAGGTTCGCGGTTCAAGTCCCACCGCGCACTAGCTATTGTCCTTTGGCAAGACATTGATCTACATTTGCCACTCTCCACCCAGGTGTTAAATGGGTACCCGGTAGGATGCGAAAGATAATATGGTTAGATTAGCAAGTGTGCGCTTGTAAAAAAGACACCTGGCTGGAATGCTCCCCAGGGAGTGGAGAATGTGCATACGTTGTGTGCGGGTAAGCCTGAATCCTATGACCGGGGTAATAATATATATCTGTAAAGGGCTTTGAGAGGGCCTTCGGTCCTGAAAAGCGCTATATAAGAACTAGCTATTATTATTATTATTCTTATTATAATACTTCAAATTTATATATTCACATTTACATTCACATATTGATGATGACAAAGCTAATATTTTCTCCCCCACCCACAGGCTCAGTTTGGTGGTGTGGCAGCATCCAGACACAACTGGGACCCCATCCTAGTGGAGATGGGTCAACGAGGCTGGGAGTTGACCTGCATCCTAGAGACGCCAGAAACCCGCCAGAGCGGACTGACCACGGCAACCACGACGGTCCTTCTATTCTTTCAGAGACCCATCCTGTAGGGATGCGTAACCATGGCAACAAATTTCTACATAGGACAAATTCAACTCGTTACATGCATGGAATAGGTCCAAACTTTATGAAGACCGGGGGTGGGCATGGGTGTTGCTTGATGGATGAAATGCAAAAGCAAATATGACCTCCCTCCTATTCTTTCAGTGGCCCATTTTCTAGGTTTTTTATTTTTAGGAATATATTCAAATACAGGGCCAAACGAATAGCGGATAAAATCAAACTCTTTCTCACCTGCAGAGTTGCGGAAACACAAATGTAACCAACCAAACAAAAATTTTAATATTTAGGAATAATTTCAATATCTGTTTCTTTCTGAGGCCCATTCTCTCTCTTGATGCAGGGTGGCGGGAAACAATTAATTTATTTGTTTATTTTTCAAGGGAGAAATTCCCGCTTATTTAATTTTTTCTAGAATATCTTCTAGTGATGCATAGCCAAGGAAATGCACCATTTTCAATTTTCAATTTTTTTTTTTTTTTTTTTGGGGGGGGGGGGGGGGAAGGAGAGGTGGATAAATTTAACTTCATTCAAATGCCCATCCTGTAGGAATGCAGGGTCAGAAAAAACGCAAACGACTCAAAGGATCAAATACCCTTAGAATTCTCATAAAATCATTTATATGAACATGCAGGACCTCGGTCTGTAAGAATTTACATATGCAATGCACATCTATCTTAATGTACAGATCTTATTCTAGTGCATATATTTTGTTGCGATCAAGCGGATAAGTCACAGGACTGTGGATCACATGGTACTAGGTTTGAATCCCGCTGCGACACTAATGTCCTTTGGCAAGGCATTAATCTGCATTCGCCACACTCGACCCTGGTGTAGTATACAGGAAACCCGGTAGGAGTCATTCCTTCAATACACTGAGCGCCATGGTCGCTGGAGCTAATGCCAGAGAAATAATATCCAAAGTTCTTTAGAAGCGATGTTATATCATAATGTGATCTGCGTTGTTCGAGAACTGCATAATACTATTATTTTTGGGGTCACAACGGTGCACCACAGCCTTACTTTAGTTTGTGGGATAGATGAGCCTTCCTTTTGCTACTACACTTTAGGTAAAATGTCTTTGACAAACATTGAATGTGTTTCTTCAAAGTGTTTAAAAGATATCAACTTCAGAGCGAACACTGGCCAGTAGACTGAGCAATGCAAAGGGTACTACTACCACATCAACTCTGCTCAAATACATATGTATTTATATTCTCTATGGGAATATGTATGTTCTTATGAATGCGCGTTTGTGGGTGTCTGCGTGTGTGTATGGGTGTGTGTTTATGTGTACAATGTAGATTAATATAGTGCATCTTCTAGTGAACATATACATATACAGGTGTACATACATATATACATGGTAAGATGTTGACAATAGTTTTTATGAAATTAACTGCAGAACTAACTTTTTTATTTCAAAAATATGATGTGAACAATATATTTTTCATTGGTTATATTAGCAGTCCAATTAGATTAGATTGGAGTACCTAGATGTAAATTGGAATTTGGGGTAAATATCTCTTTGTCATGATTCTGTGTTACCAGTCGGACTTGGCCTTGTGTGAAGGGGATGATATTACAAAGCTGATACTGATGTATTGTTCACAAATAAGTTCTCTGAAAAATTATATTGTCAATTCATGTTTTATTCCATGAGTGACATGACTTTTATTCTGAGCTTGAAAAAAACAGAAGACTTCTGTAGGAGTATTTTTACACTTGCTGATTTAGGGGAAGTCTGGCTCTGGAAATATTCCAAATATATTACAAAACCTCTCTTTTCCTTGTTAAAGGAATTTGATATGAAATATATTTGAAAGAGGCTGATTATCAAGAGTCTGTAGCTACTTCTAATATCTATCACTTTACCTATGTGCTTTACACTTTCCAGATACAAGTTTAAAGGGATCGTTTAACAATGTTAAATTTGAAATACACGGCCCTACGCGTTATCAGTGTCTGTGATATGGTGTAATGAAGCCCTAAAAAAATTGCGCTTCAAAATGATCAAGAAGTGCCTCAAAAAAGTAAAAATCTTTGAGTGTTTTACCGGTTTTACCATACTCGTTTTCCCCAATAGACTGTAGTGTTATGAAAACCGTCAGGCGAACGGTTTTCAAAATTTGTAATTCCAATCATAAATATCTTGATAATCAGACAAGCAATCGGCTTGTAAAAGTCATGGGGTTCCTGACTGACCTAAAGGTTTATAATTATCTTTGCATCATGAGCTAAATCCAGAATTTTGTTTCAGAATCTGAGACAAAGTTACCGGATCCCTTTAAAGAATATATCATACTATTAGCGATTATTCAAGAACAATGCCTCCGTAAATGATTTGTTTAAATACTAACTTTGATATGTACAAACACTGCTGCTTCGGTGACTATAGATAAGTACTTTATAGAACTCATACTGTTTAGAGTTGAATAACGGTTGGGTTTTTTTTTAAAATAAATAATTAATTATGATAACAGATTAGACTTAATATATTGTAATTGCCTTTGAGAGACAAGATTTGTTTTCCTGTTTTCCACTTTCTACAAGTTATAGTGTGTTCGGTTCTTTTGGAATTTAATTATATTTTATCCTCATTGCATTTTCTGCAGTTTATGTTTATATGTTCTGAAAGATATGTTTATTGTGATCATGTGATGTTAATATTAGACCAAGACTCAGTATAACTGAAAAGCTCCCATTAACCAGTGACGTTTAGCAGAGTTGAGTTTTTGGTATATTTTTATATTAAGAGTAGATTGATGTCATATATTGACTTTTTTCTCTTTTTCAAACTCTATTATGACATCATGTTTATATGCCATGGAATTTCTTTTTGCCAATGTACAATATCATGCAACTCGACGTTCAATCTTAGAAAATGCCCTCTCTGCCATTTTGAGCATTGTATAAGCTAAATAAAACTTATAATGCGTTTGTGATGATGTTCGCACATTGTTTAAAAATAAATTAGGAGGTACATTTGTTCCAGTACTTGTGTAACAGATAACATTCGTCAAATAAAAACTATGAAAACTATGTCATATTTTAGGAGGAACATAAATTATGTGAAAATTGTATAGCTCTTTTGCTTGCCCTTAACAGTATCAGTACTTGTGCTGCCGTTTTTAGTAATATGACATTGATATCTGGCCTTTTTTGTATATTAAGCCATAAATGTTTTGATGGTCACTTGATTTGAACGTAAAGGTGATATAGCAACTTTAAAGGTAACATAGAAAACTTTGAGGAAGTTGGAAGACTGTGACTTCATATTATTATTATTCCAAATTTTGTGTGTAACACGATGGAAACTACTTCCGCATTATCAACTCAAGGGCGATTCCAATACCCCATTATACTATATCTTGTACAATTATGTTCCGATTAAGTGATACGTCGTTGTGATGATCGCTCGTTTCAAAAGGCGTTGGACGAGGCTATCAAAATAGTCCACTGACTGTACCGTTCCATGTCCGGCGACGACCAATCAACTGCAAAAAAAAGAACACGCTAAAATGGAGACAGTCCTTGCCTTTCATTTTTATCCTCGGATTCGGGGGTCGCCCGACAGATATGTGTGGGTTGCAAGTATTAAGGGATATAGATGATTGGAGCTTTAGAAAATTCAATTGTATATAAAAACAGTCAGAATCTGGATTACTATTGAAATTGCGTAAAGTTAATTTTTGTTTAAATTAGTAGAGATCGTGTTGTTCTTATTTCACAGATCATCATTTGTTACCTACTGAAATCAATTGGTTGCTCTATTGATGTATAGGACTTTAATAGAGGATTTTGTGAATAAATGATAGAATTCTGTATACAGCTTGAGGTCTGTATCCTTTTTATAACCTTTTTTATATGAATTGTTTATCATGTCTTTACACAGTCAAGTATATTTATGAATTATATTAAATAAACATGTATTGATATTGAAAACAAATTACGAATTGAGTATGACGTCATCTTGACTTTAAATTTGTTGTAATTTGTTTGGTTTATGCTGGGATTGTTTGTTTGTTTGTTTAATTTTTTTTTTAATTCTGAGCGTGCAAGGTAGTATAATGTGAACTAATGTCACTCAAGATCATAGATTTGGTACTTATTTCTGGATAGGTATGAAAACAAAAGGTTCCGTTTCAGGCCCATTCGCAGTAATATAAAGCAGATGCATATATCCAAACATTGCGAACGGATGGGGCGGCATCCTTCCCAAATGAGGGCATTGGCGTCAATCCTTGGGGGGGGGTGGGGCACGTCTCCCCACGAATTTTCAGGTGGTGAAATGTCCCCCCCCCCCCCCCACGATTTGGGGTTAAAATCTTCTTTTTTTTTTGCACGAGAGGGGGGAAGACAAGGATTAAGAGTCGAGAACGGTACAACGAATCGTCTTCGTTCTTTAATAATTTAATGAAATTCGAAGCTTCCGCGCTACAACGAAACGTGTTTTTTCTCCAATAACGTAATGAAATGTCAAAGTTTGCGCGGAAGGAAGAAAACTGAATTTAGACAAAGATTAAGAGTCGAGAATGGTAAAACGAATCGTCTTCGTTCTTTAATAATTTAATGTAACGTCAAAGCTTCCACACTTCGCGCGGCAGGAGGGAAACTGAATTTAGACAAAGATTTAGAGTCGAAAACGGTACGACGAATCGTCTTCGTTCTTTAGTAATTTAATGTTACGTCAAAGCTTCCGCGCGGAAGGGGGGGGGGGAATTAATTTAGACAAAGATTAAAGGTAATACAAAGTTTTGGTATGGGGTCATGAATTCGGTTCAAATGAACATATTCGAAGCATATGCGATCCTACAACATTCAGTGATCGTTGTCGCGGTTGAAATCGAGTCTAAAGTTATGAAATTGTAAATAATAAACTCTCTATGTTGTATAGCTCCCTCTCAAGGTCAAGATATTAATTATGCTATAAAACAATGTTTTTGACTAAAATCGACCGATTAGCTATTCCCGTTTGGAAATTATATATGACATCTACATAATCTAAGATTGTCATGGTCGCAGCCATGAATGAAACCCAAAGCTTCCGCGCTACGTCAGACAAGGAGAGTCGAGAACGGTACAACGAAACGCCTTCTTTCTCCAATGGCGTAATGAAATGTCAAAGAATCCGCGCTTCGCGCGGAAGGAAGGAAACTGAATTTAGACAAAGATTAAGAGTCGAGAACGTTATATACAACGAATCGTTTTGTTCTTTAATAATTTTATGAAATTCAAAGCTTCCGCGCTACGTCAGACAAGGAGAGTCAAGAACGGTACAACGAAACGTCTTCTTTCTCCAATAACGTAATGAAATGTCAAAGTATCCGCGCTTCGCGCGGAAGGAAGGAAACTAAATTAAGACACAGATTAAGAGTCGAGAACGGTACAACGAATCGTCTTCGTTCTTTAATAATTTAATGAAATTCAAAGCTTCCGCGCTACAACGAAACGTCTTCTTTCTCCAATAATGAAAAGAAATGTCAAAGTTTGCGCGGAAGGAAGAAAACTGAATTTAGACAAAGATTAAGAGTCGAGAATGGTAAAACGAATCGTCTTCGTTCTTTAATAATTTAATGTAACGTCAAAGCTTCCACACTTCGCGCGGCAGGAGGGAAACTGAATTTAGACAAAGATTTAGAGTCGAGAACGGTACAACGAATCGTCTTCGTTCTTTCGTAATTTAATGAAACTCAAAGCTTCCGCGCGGAAGGGGGGGGGGATTAATTTAGACAAAGATTAAGAGTCGAGAACGTTACAACGAATCGTCTTCGTTCTTTAATATTTTAATGAAACTCAAAGCTTCCGCGCTACGTCAGACAAGGAGAGTCGAGAAGGGTACAACGAAACGTCTTCTTTCTCCAATAACGTAATGAAGTGTCAAAGAATCCACGCTTCGCGCGGAAGGAAGGAAACTGGATTTAGACAAAGATTAAGAGTCGAGAACGTTACAACGAATCGTTTTGTTCTTTAATATTTTAATGAAACGTCAAAGCTTCCGCGCTACGTCAGACAAGGAGAGTCGAGAACGGTACAACGAAACGTCTTCTTTCTCCAATAACGTAATGAAATGTCAAAGTATCCGCGCTTCGCGTGGAAGTAAGGAAACTGAATTTAGACAAAGATTAAGAGTCGAGAACGTTACAACGAATCGTCTTCGTTCTTTAATATTTTAATGAAACGTCAAAGCTTCCGCGCTTCGCGCGGCAGGAGGGAAACTGAATTTAGACAAGGAGAGTCGAGAACGTACGGTTCAACGAATTCTTTCTCTAATAATTAAATTCAACATCAAAGCTTCCGCGAAGAGCGGGAGGGTGGGGGTGGGACTGAATTCAGACAAGGATTAAGAGTGGAGAATGGAACAACAAATCGTCTTATTTCTCTATAAATGTAGAGAAACGTCAAAGATAAAAAAGAAAAGAAAATGAATGAACCGGTCACCAATGGAAGTATATACACGCCGTGAAACAGAATAACTAGAGAGAGAGAGAGAGAGAGTGTGTGTGTGTGTGTAGCATCATAACCCCCCCCCCCCTGAATCCGCAATTGATAATGTGGTATAACTTTGAAACTAAATGTAAAGGTGATTTCACTGACATGACTGCGTCCCCCCATGCTCGGATTGACACCCTTGAATGAGGGCGTCATCTTTTTGCCCACATCGCGCTATGTTTGGGCCGACCATTTGACCAAACTGAATTCTCATTGGGTTTTTTTTAGGGGGACGGGGAAGGGTTTCTTAATAAGCTCTATAATACGGAAGACAACAATTTAAAATGGTATTGCCAAAAAAGTGGGACATAATGTAATCAAACTTTAGTGCACCCAGTTTATATTGTTACATAAACATTTGCATGAATAAGAATGCGAGTTTCAGGCAAATTAAACACTGACACATGCTGTGTAGAACTGCTGAAAAAAAGTGAAAAGCTGCATATACATAGGAACAGATCGATTTAATGTTTGGCAATTGAACATAATGGAGAATTATGATCGGAATAACTGACCAATTAAAGGTTACAAATGAACTATATTCATTACACATAAGCGTGATACAAAGTCTTAGTGCCATACAATTAAGGTACAATAAAACAAGCAGAAATGTAATCGAATCAATTATTTTGAAACAAACTGCACCGTGCTGTTAAAGTTTTAAAACAACATCAAATGTTATAACACTATAATCATTATTATGGTACCAGTTTCATAATAAAATGCATGTTCACGTACTTTAGACTTTTTCCATTGTTATTCGTAGATGAACATGTAAATAAAAATGCTCGAGTGTTAACTTAAGCATAGTGTAATACCATTTCGTATCCTTTTCTTTATATTTTCATATCGTTTATATAGGCCATTATCACTATTAGTCAACGAGTACTAAGTTATGATGTTGCTGTTTATTGCTTTTCATAACAAGTTACATTCGAATAAATGAACTCTCCGACAAATGAACCTTTGGATATGTAACCCTTCGGATATAAAACGATCGAACCTTCCGAAACTAAATTGCAACTTTGGCTAATTGAATCTTTGGAGCATCGAACCTTAGGAGGAACCTACGAGTCGATGAATCTTCGACTATGTTAACCTTTAGAACAATATTATATTCAGTTATCAAACCTACTAATCTGAACCTTCATAATAAAAAGCTAAAACCAAAATGCCGGTCTATGGTTCCTTTTCATACGTGTATAAATTCATTGAATCTTCGGGTCCTTTCTGGGAGTATTCTTCCCACGATCCGTCGTACACCGCCACGTCTTCCTTCCCTGCATGGAAGGCGCCTAGGGCCAGGATGGAGGCAGTGATGCCCACGTAGCACGACGAGGTCAAAGGTCGAGACAGGTCAATGCCATTGGATTTGAAGAGGGCCCTGAGATCGGCGGGTGACCTGAACTTGTCGGAGCCGTCATCGACGAGGACGTTGGGGAACGGGATATTGGTCGCCATCTTCATGATTCCAAGGTTGATACCTGCGCATGGAGTTTGATGAGAGAAATATTTCAATATGACTATGAGACTTGGAGAGAAAGGCCATGATAAACGCGTAAAACAATGAGAAAGAGAGAGACCATTTATATCAGCGATCAGCGCTAGCTTTGTTGCTTTTTCACGGTTTCTTCTACATATCTCATTTAGGTCTGTCTAAGCTGGTGTGATCTGAACCCCCTCCCCATTATGGGGAAATCTCTTTAGAGGCTTTGACACCTTCAACATTATGATTGTATGTCCTTTCCATTCTTTGATTTGTCAACAATCAGAGTAAAAAACTTGAGATCAAGAAAAGTAAAGTGCATATAAATTGTTGACGATAGCAAATTAGGGTGAAGTGATCGAGGAATGGAAAGAAATTTGATGGTAGGAGAAGTGACGAGGAAAGACGAGGAAAGACAAGGATGATGATCGATCAGAAGAAAGGAAAATGGAACCATGGCTACGATCGGAGATAATGGTGACGATCAGCAGGATCAGCGAAAAAAGTGAGGTTCAGAGGAAGAGTGATGATCTAAGAGAAAGGTGACAATAAAAAAGGTGACATCAGATCAGAGGGTTATGTGATGAACTGATGATCAAAGGGTGGCGATCAAAGGGTGGCAAGCAAAGAGGAATGTGACGTCAGGGAGACTGGTGATTGACGACCAAAGAGAAAGATGGCTATCAAAGAGTGAGAAATTTAGATGGCGATCAGAGAGAAGGATGGCGGGTAAAGAAAAAGATGGCGATCAAAGAAAAAGGTGATGATTAGAGGAAAAGGTAACGTTAAAGGAAAGTTGACCATCAAAGAGTAAGGCGATCATCAAAGTATATTGTTACGACCAAAAAGTGACAAACGGGAAGGGGCTGCCAATTAAAGGGGAAAAGAGAAAGAGTGACTACAAGAAGGATTTTTTACCTTCATAAACAGAAGGCTGTGATCCATCATACCACTCCACAAGACGGGAATCCATAATCTGAAACTTGGGATCCTTCACGTTCTGCAGGACGTCTTCGTAACTCTTGAAGAGATCCTCTCGTCTCTCAGTCACCTTAAACTCCACCGCTTCTGGCACGGGCGTTGGTATTTCCGTCACCGTTCGGTTCTCAGCAACCCACTGCTGGAGTCCGCCGTCGAGTACGGAGACGGCGTCGTGATTGAAGAGGCGGAACATCCACCACATCCTAGGTGCCGTCATGACCTTAACCTTGCCTTCGTAGAGGACGACGTGCGTGTCGTTGTCGACGCCAAGCGTCTTTCCGACGTACTCGGCGAAGTTTGCCGGAGTCGGGGCGGTGAAATGATAGGAGGAGTCCTTGTTGCTGAGTTGATGGATGTCTATGTGGTGACTACCAGGTATGTGTGCCTTCCCTGTTTCCATGCCGATCCTTGTCGCGTCAAGAACTCGAAAGGGTCTTCCATCTGGGGTCTTCCGTGTTCCCATTGCTTCTGCCAGCCATTCCGTACTTACCAAGCCAGGGTATTGTGCATGAGATGATACAGTGGTATGCTGTAAAAGGAAGTGTCAGGTATACCTCCTTAAAACAATCACAAACCGAATTGATGCAATGTGATGATTTTCTAGTAAATATATATTTTGTTATGACTCGAACTTGGCAAGTTGAGTGTTAATATTAGAAAGTGGAAATCTCCAGTTGGCATGAGGCCATCATGTTTGATGGCCTATACAGCTCTCTTATAATAGAAACTTTCTTGACTATCTTCGACCTATATAGACAGCGAGGTGATCTTTTTGTAACTCTTGTTAACTACCACATTTTCATGACAAACTTACATGGAAGGGCGCTTTTCAACAGTGCAATGTCAAGGTTTGGAAAACATAAAGTTCATATTAAGCTAAAACATATTAGCCCCCCCCCCCCCCCTGTGAAATTATGGCTGAATAGCTGATAAATCATTACCGCATTGCCAATTTAAGATTTCTCAGAATATTAAGTGATTTCAGCTTTAAAAACTATCTCTTGTCCGATAAAACTGTCACAAATTGTCTACGTCCATCGAAAGCCAACTTTTTAATTCTGTGAAGGTTCTAGTCCCCGTCAGTGTACGTGCACTCGATTTTGTCGATGTAGGCCTGTATTAATTACATGTGACTTTAAGCCTGTAAATCATTCCTGAATAAAGTTTCGCTATATCAGACTCAAAAGGGAATAGTGCATTGATCTAAAGCAAGGGTTTGATGGCTCATCGTATAAACGAATAATATCTTACTAAATTGTTTGCATATTATCTGATAATGATCATGATGTAGATAAAATGTGCCTGTAAGACCCATGCCCTTTCCAACATGTTTGGAGAAACCCCGGAGAACACGTACTGAAATTCAAATTTGCAGCTTGCATAGTGTCTGCATATTAATCATAATATGCTGCTCCGTCCTGCAATGAATGTGTAGCATGAATATGAAGCTGATAATTTTAACCTTTTTGTTTCTATTTAGAGTTTTATGTTATTAGCTAGTGCAAATGTCAACAAGTTCTAATATTTAAGCTCTCAAGTTTTAATGTTTTATCAAAATGAAGCTGAATAGAGAATCGCTAATAGGAATGGTTAAAAAAAAAGCTTGCATTCCAAAATTAACATTGTAATTTCTATTGATCAAGTCGAGTATGATGAACGCCCCCCCCCCCCAACCCGAAAACAAAAAGTTTGCTTTATAGAGACACTTTTTTTTGTCGTATCGAACTATTGTCCGGTTTTGTCTTCAGATAAATATGTGTTGGGTATCCCTAAGACCTTCTTCACTTGTAACTAGTCGCTCAGTTGCTGAAAATGAATTTGCATTTACTAGTCATCCAATTCCTTTTATTGTTCATATATTTAGGATCACTACAGAAATAACTAAAAAGAAATATGTAGCTAAAAATGAAGCCGCGGGACTAAGTCTAGACTAGACCTAATTAAACAAGAATTTTAGTTCACACTTCTATGGAATGCTAGTTTCATCTTCCTCCTTCAATATTCATGACAAGATAATCTACCATAGACTTTGTGGAAATTCAGTTCATACTCATATTGTTTTTTTCTTCCCATTTCATTGCAAAATTAATTTTGGGTGCACTTTTCATTGCAGGATTGAAATAATCTGTACGGGGTAAATGAGTTGGCATCAGGCACTCCATAAAAGTGTGGACTAAGTTAAGCCAGGCTATACCATAGAGCTATATATATACAGTGCGTCCCAGATAAAACGAAACCGAGAATTATTGATGTTTTATCATAACGTAATCACAATTATAATTGATAAATGACACATATTTGGAAAGCTTAGATCCTCTTCTTTCATTTGATGCAACTCATAATAACGCATATTTCACGCATGGCATGAGTGATTAAAATCAATTTGAAGAGAGGAAACCGAAAAGTCGTTTGGCGGGCGGTATCTGAATTTCAAAGAGAAAATCACATTTCTAGAAAGTTGAGTTTCTGCCCTTTCATATGACACCTCATTCAGGAAAAATGAGCTAGGAATAACAAAGTTCTGTTTGCTTAAAGTAGTGTTTGCATTTCCATAATTTGATTAAACGAATTCGTTTTCACTGGCTGCCTGCCGTATCAACAAACGAAATTAACAAAAGACTTAACTCCATTTCGTTGACAATCAGCCGTAGACGAAAGACTTTATGCATGGCTGATCGTCAACGAAACGGCGTTAAGTCTTTTGTCAATTCTGCTTTTTGCTACGGCATGCAGCCAGTGAAAACGAATTTGTTTGCTAAAATTATGAAAATGTAAGTGCTACTTTAAACAAACAGAACTTTGTCATTCCTTGCTCATTTTACCTGATTGAGGTGTCATATGAAAGGGCAGAAACTCAACTTTCTAGAAATGTGATTTTCTCTTTGCAATTCAGATACCGCCCGCCAAACGACTTTTCTGTTTCCTCTCTTCAAATTGATTTTATGCACTCATGCTTGAAATATGCATCATAATGAGTTGCATCAAATGAAAGAAGAGGATTTAAGCTTTCCAAATATGTGTCATTTATCTATTATAAATGTAATTAAGTTATGATAAAACATCGACAATTCTCGGTTTCGTTTTTTCTGGGACGCACTGTATATATATATAGCTCTATAGATAGTATGTATACGCGCTATCGGAATAGTACCACCCAATAGCTTAGCAAGATCACGTAGTCACAGTTAGGTCAAAGATGAACAAAATACGCATAGGGTAGTCATGTTTCAAGATGATGGTCGAGTTCTGGTTAAGGTCATGATCGTCGACATGCAGCTTCTCACTCTTGATATTCCACTTAGAAACATATTATATTATAGAACTATCGCTTGAAAAGGAATTGCTCTTAATGTGCTATCATATTTTATACAAGATAAGATGAATATAGACCTATATGCCTAGACTAGCTATCTTTTCTAATGCCACAAAATTGTGTAGTCAAAATTGTACACAATGTGTCTGTCCGATTCTTTTTTAATGCCACAACATGTAGTCCAATGTACACCCAATGCGTGCCCTATGCTTTTCGTAAGAATATGCCTAAAGTATATATTCTGCCAAGACAAGAGTTATTAAATTTGTTAACACTTTAATTATTCCATTCACGATCATGATGTATAGGATGGGATCTATCTACATTATACTACACAATCAACTATTTATATCGAGATAAAACTATCGTATCATGCATGACAATGTGCGTAGACCTACGTACCGTGTTGACCACATAATTAGACTATATTACCTTCTAAATATGGATCTAGCCAAGTATATTTCTAGCTAAGTTTACTTACTATATGAGAAGCGGGCACATTGCAGGCCACTGTCCCATAGACTGAATTAGCTGCATGATGAAATCTGGTTCTAAACAGAGCCAGTGACTGTACAATTAGTAGGTTCCTCATTTTAGAATGAATCTGATATAACACCAGTGGTTTCCTGGGGCATCACTATAGCAGCAAATGCAGTCTTTTTTTCTCCCTCCGCTGCCCTATAGACTCTAGCCATGCACATTTGCCACTCGATCCGGCACACGGAATTCAAAGTTCAGTTGTTATGTTGACAGATATGTCAAAGATTAATAGAAATAAAAACCTGGGTATAAGCAGGGTCTCGTCTACATGGTACATGTACAGTGCGTCCCAAAAAAAATACACTTTTGAAATGGCAGCTCATAAACTCAACTTTCATATGACACCAAAAAGTCCGAAAATAATTCATGGTTGGGTGGGGGCGGGGGTATATGTAGGTCAGTCGTTAAGAAAATGATGTTATGAAATTAACTGCAGAACTATGTTTTTTATTAAAAAAAACAAATATGATGTGAACAATATTTTTTGCATTGGTCATGTTAGCAGTACAATTTGATTGGATTAATAAGTACCTAGATGTAAATTGGGGACAAATATATATGCATGTCCATTCTGTGTTACTAGTAAGACATGGCCTTGGGTGAAGGGGAGGTATTTCAAAGTGGATATTGATGTTTTTATCACAAATTTATTTAATCTATGTAATGCTAATATTTGAATTTCACATCAGTTATTTTTTACTCAGATAGCAAATATAAGTCATCTGAAAATACATATTTTTTTTCTTTCTATTTATCCTCTTTCGAGGGACTTTATTTGTTCATATCATTAAATAATAGCTATTTACAACAGTGTTTAAATACAGAATTCATGCAGTTGTAACATATTATACATAGTACAGAACATGAAACTAATGTGACATAATCACTGACTAAAATAATGAAAACATTTTTGTAACTTTTGTAACTTCGTTTGTATCGAATTTCTTTTGATTACATTTCATATTGAGATAGGTGCGAATTTCCACCTTTAAAGGTAGGCGTTACTAATGCAGCTAGAAGGGATTAGACCACACAGCGAGCCAACGAGGTCACTGTGACAGGTGGCTATCTCATTAACTCAGCTCTCATTTAACATAAGAAAAAGAGGATCATGGGGGACCAACAGGCACCAATTTGGGAAGTTTTCTATATAGAGGGAGCAAGTAGCTACAAGTAGGACAGTGTGCCTTTAACTCTTTTATCAAATATACAGCATGTATCCTGTGCTTTTCACTTCCAAAACATTCTCTAATATAGTTTCTATAGATAATAAACTGAGCGAAGTTTAAAATAAGATTGACAAGATTCATTTCTCTTCTCTCTATTTCATAACCTATTAAAAGAATTTCTCCGTTCAAAAAGATTTTAAAATTAAACGTATCAATTAATTTGGATACAATCTTCCAAAAAAGTGAAACCTTCTTGCAAGCCAGAAGAAGGTGGTTAGTTGTATCTGGAATCTTACATATATCACATAGATTATTATTTTTAATCTTCCATTTACATAAATTGTCTTTACTGGGCAATATTCTATGAAGATATTTAAAATTAAACTGCTTAATTCTGTTGTCATTTATAAAGTAAAATTTATAATGGAGCACCGTTTTCCAGTTAAACTCATCAGGTAAACCAAAATAAGCGTTCCAGAAATAAATGCACGGCAGATCCTGTCTATTTTGTTCTAACATCAAATTATAATAGTGTTTGGCTTGCATGACCGCTACATCAATGGAGTCACCTGTTACTATTTCTATTATACTGGATTCCACTGCAGACGGTGGACTATTTACATATTGTAACCTATTACGTTATTTCTGCAACCAAAAATTCGGAAATGCACTTTTTAACTTTGCCAATTTGAAGGCGGAAAGTAATTCATTTTCTTGAAATTAATACAAATAGAATCAACTTCTTTCCAGATACCGTTTACTAAGACTTGTTTCACTTTAAAAATATTTTTTCTCATCCAGTTTGGAAAATACAATAACTCATTCATATCTTTAATATTGCTATTATACCAAATCATTTCATTTTCAATATCTGTTACTTTAAACATATCAGTGTATTTTAAATCAGCCCAAGAACAAAACATGTCAACATAAAAGTTAGGCAACTGTTTTTTTTCTACAAATACGACACATATCGCTCTTTTTGCAATTAAAATGCAAACAAAGTGGCAAATCCCCAATTTTCTTGATCCAATTTCTAAACAGTTTTTTTCTTTCTTTTTCCAAGCACTTTGTTCATCTCTTAAATATTTATGAATCCATGAAAGACGGAGTGACCGGCATTTTGACTCTAAGTCGATCATTCCCAACCCCCCCCCCTTCTACTTCAGGATTGTGACAGATGTTTCGTTTCACCTTTTCTGTTTTAGAATTCCATAAACATGTGTAAGCCAGTTTATTTATACGTTTAATTATTTTATTAATTATCTATTATTAATCTATTATTAATTATTATTAATTATCTGAAAATACATATTGTCAATTCATGTTTTAGTATACGAGTAACATTACTCTTATTCTGAGCTGGTTGCAGTGAAAAAAACTTTAAAAACTGCTGTGGGAGTATTTTCACACTTGCTGATTAAGGGGAAGTATGGAATCAATTGGTTTGCTCTACTGGTGTATTGGACTTTAATAGAGGATTTTGTGAATAAAATGATAGAATTCTGTATACAGCTTGAGGTCTGTATCCGTTTTATAACCTTTTTTAAAATACGAGTTTCTATGGTAAATTGTTTGTTATATCTTTACATTTTCAAGTATATTTATCGAATTAAATTAAAGCTTATCTGCCGTAGTTTACAGGAGGGATTAGACCGCTCTGCAAGGTCACTGGACAGGTGGTTATCTCATCAACTCAGCTCTCAATTAACATAAGAAAAAGAGGATCATGGGGGACCAATGGTCACCGATTAGGCATTGTTTGTAGTAGAGGGTGCAAGTAGCTACCAGTAGTGCAGTGGGCCTTTAAATAAATATGTATTGGTATTGAAAACAAATTACAAATTGATTATGTCTTCTTGTCTTTAAATTTGTTGTTATTTGTTTGGTTTATGCTAGGATTGTTCGTTTGTTTATTTTTTACGTTTTATTCTGAGCGTGCAAGGTAGTAATGTGAACTAATGTCACCCAAGATCATAGATTTGGTAATAATTTCTCAATCGGTCTGAAAACTAAAGGTTCTGTTTCAGGCCCATGTACAGTAATATAAAACAGATGCATATATCCATACATTGCGGTCTAATGGTATAAATGGTATAAGCGTTATACCAATCTACAGAGCACTAGATGGTATAAGCGTTATACCAATCTACAGAGCGCTAAATGGTATAAGCGTTATACCAATGTACAGAGCACTAATGGTATAAGCGTTATACCAATCTACAGAGCTCTAAAAAGTATACTACGTTATACCAACCTACAGAGTACTAAATGGTATAAGCGTTATACCAATCTACAGAGTACTAAATGGTATAAGCGTTATACCAATCTACAGAGCACTAAATGGTATAAGCGTTATACCAATCTACAGAGCACTAAATGGTATAAGCGTTATACCAATCTACAGAGCACTAAAAAGTATAAACGTTATACCAACCTGCAGAGCACTAAATGGTACAGTCAAACCTGTCTATAGCGACCGCCCAAGGTAAACACAAAAAGTGGTCTTTGAAGACAGGTTCCTTTGTTACATGTTTCAATGAGAAACCATTTTCAAGTGAAACAAAAAAAAATGGTCATTTTAGACAGGTGGTCTTTCCAGACAGGTGGTCACTTAAATGTAAGCAGGTTCGACTGTATAAGCGTTATACACTATGTACCAATCTACAGAACACTTAAAAGTATGAGCGTTATACAATCACTAAAAGGGTAACAATAAATTTGTAATTGATTCTGGCTACTGGTATCTTTCACATAGCCTTGAAGAAAACGTAGAACCTGAAAATTAAACAATTTTGGTGTAAATCTGGATTTTTGCTGTCCAGATTGAAATAATTTGTTGTTGCGCCCTGAAGATCTACGTCGATCAGAGCAAGGAGCGGTCAAATTAAGCCATAAAAGGGGAAGGGAGAGGTGTGGGGTGAAACATAATTGCCTTAAACATATATGAAGAGCAAGAACTTGTGCTGACTTCGAAAAATCGGAGAATAACCCCACTCCATTGCATTTTCCGCACCGCCCTCTGCAAAAAATGCAATTATACCCAGGAGTCATGTCTATTTATCTTTGACATAGCTGTCAACATAACGATTGGACTTTCGACTACGAATTCCGCCTATTGGAGTGACTTGTACGTTAGCATGGCTGGAAAAAACAACTGTATTTGCTGCAACTGATGCCATAGGAAACTACTAGCTGGTGTTAAAAGAGATTCACGCTACAATGAAGAACCTGCTAATTGTACAGTCACTGGCTCTGTTCAGAAACAAATTTCATCATGCAGCTATTTCTGTTTATGGGACAGTAGCCTGCAATGCACCCGCCTCTTATATAGTAAGTAAACCGATACAGCTAGAGATATACTATATAGGCTACGTCCAAATTTAGATTTAAGTTATGAGGTCAGGTATAGATTGACGTACATTGTCATGATATTATCATGTATGGAATAGTGAAACTGTTAACAAATTTAACAACTCTTAGTCTAATTGAGAGAATTAAGAGTTTAGGCCTAATATAATTATGAAATAATTAAAACATCGGGCACACATAATATACATTGGACTACATAAAGTTGTGGCATATCGGAAATTTAGCTATAATAAGCCTCTACATCTTGACATGTTTAAAATATGAGAGCACGTTAAAAGCAATTCTTTTTAAAACAACAATGATATAGCATGATATATTTTTAGTCGAATATATCACGAGTGACAAGCTGTTGACGATCATGACTTTAGCCAGAACACAACCCCTATCTTGAAACACGACTATGCCTTTTTAGTGACCTTTGAGCTGTGTCTACGTGATCTAAAGTTCCTGTCTTCTGAGCTGCACGTTTCTTTTTAGTTATTTTTAGTTATTTGTTTAGTGTAAACATTATAAACAATAAAAGGCAAATATAAGAATATTAGGTGACTATAGAAAATGAAAATTCATTTGTTAGCAACTGAGCGACTAATTCCAAGTGAAGAAGGATATTGAGATACCCAACTCATATCCGAAGACAAAACAGGACAATAGGGTACAACAAAAAGTGTCTCTAAACAAACCTGTCTCCGGATCCGGTAGGGGGCGGGGGGGGGGGGGGCGTTTACCATACTCGAGTACATCAACATCTAGCTTTGTTTAGCATTCCTATTAGCGATCCTATATTTGGCTTCATTTTGAAATAAAACATAATAGCTTGCGACCTTGAATTAAAGCTTGCTGACAATTTACACTTACTAACACAAAACTGAAAATAGAAACAAAAAAGGTTAACATTATCAGCTTCATATATTCTTGCTACACACAACAGAGCATAATATCCCCCCCCCCCCACTCAGTGTTATTTAGGGTACGCATATGCTCGTTCCCTCTTTTTGACACATTTTCGAACCCCCCTTTCGCGGGCTTTTCCTGCCTTGGAGACCCCCCTAAATCAGGAAAAATGCTCAATGTACCCCCCTAAATTCGGAATAATTTTTCAGGAGTCCAAAGAGATGAGAGAGAAAAAAAGAAAAAACACCCCCTTTTTAAAGAAATCTCCGGGTGAAAAGTCAAATACACCCCTTTTTTTACAATTCTCGGGCCGGACTTTGTCGCACGAAAATTACCCCTTTACCGGACATTTTGGTAACACGCATGCGGTCATTCTGACCCCCTGAGTAATATTAACCCCTTGACTATAGAATTCTTATATTATTTATAGGTTTAACACAGAAACCTGGTCCCAGGAGGTAAAGGGTTAATAATGTAGCCAATATACAAGCTGCAACTTGGCACTAAGTACGTACGTGTTTCTCTAAACGTGTCTTTTTCAAAGGGGGAGGGGGGTCTTATAGGCACATAACTACATCATGAACGTAATCAGATGATATGCAAATATTCTAGTAAGATATTATTCGTTTATAATGATGTGCCATCAAGCCCTTGCTTTATAGATCAATGTAATATTCCCTTTGGAGTTTGATGGCAATCTTTATTGGTTTTGTAGACTTAAAGTCACATGCAGGCAATATACATGTACATTGAAAAAAAATCAAGCGCACAATATTAGACCCCTAGGGGGTCTAAAACCTTCATAGACTAAGTATGCCAGGTCACATTTGACGCGGCGGTCGTGCGGTCTAAAATATCTACGGACAATAGCAATTATATGACCGCCTATATTATTGTAAGTAGCCTATCTGTCGATTTTTGGGGCGTACGGCTGCCATATCCTAGCCGTAGAGCAAATATAACCTATATGCCTAGGTCACATTTGCTCTACGGCTAGGATACGGCGGCCGTACGCCCCCGAAATCGATATTTACTTGCGGCGGCCGCAGAGAATCTGCGATGGCCTCAGGATCACCCTAGGGCGTATCTCTATATTTACAGGCCGTACGGGTCGCCGTGGGATTATAACCCGGAGTTAGACACGCCGTAGCCATGCCGTTGAGCGGTTCCATGGCGACCATACATCGGGCGTATGGTAGCCTTGCTTTGTATATACTCCAGGGGTGAAGCGGTAGCATCAGTCTGGCCGCACGGTCGCCGTATGGTCCCCATTTGGTCGCCTTGCAGGCACCTTGCGGCTACCTTGCGTCTGCCATAGTATTTGTCAAAAAGCTACGGCCGCCGCAGAGACGCCCTAAGACGACCGTGCGTCATCACTTCAAAGGCTGTACGGCAGTCGCAGATTTTCTGTCTCCACAATTTCAAAATACGCCTTGCGGCTACCCTAACATATGTGACCGCTACCGTATGTGACCGCGGGAATGCTGCGGCGGTCCTATAATTGCTATTGTCCGTAGATATTTTAGATCGCACGACCGCCGCAACAAATGTGACCTAGGCATAACCTAGTGTTCGATGGACTTAGACAATTTGTGACTGTCGCAGAAATATTTTACAAGATATCAATCCTAAAAGCTGAAATCCCTAAAAATCCTGAGAAATCCTACATTGGTAATACGGTAATGATTCATCAGCTATTCGGGCATCATTTCAGAGTGGGAGGGAGGGGGGGATTATATGTCTTGGTCCAATAAGAACTTTCTAGTTCCAAACCTCAACTGTTAATAAGCGCCCTTTTCATGTAATTTCTTCATGAAAATATGCTAGGTAACAAAACTTACAAATAGATCTCCTCGCTATCTATGTAGGCCAAAGATAGTCAAGAAAGTATCAATTTGATCTGAAGAGGGAGAGCTGCAGGACATCAAACATGGTGGCCTATAAAGCTAACGTGGGATCTCCAGTGTGTGATATTAAAACTCAACTTGCCAAGTTCAAGTCGTAACAAAATATATATTAATTAGAAAGGCATGGCATTGTTTCGTTTTGTATTGTTTATAGAAGCTAGTATACCTGACACTTCCTTTAACAGCATACCACTGTATCATCATACGCACAATACCCTGGTTTGGTGAGTACAGAATGGCTGGCAGAAGCAATGGGAACACGAAAGACCCCAGATGGAAGACCTTTTCGAGTTCTTGACGCTACAAGAATCGGCATGGAAACAGGGAAGGCACACATACCTGGTAGTCACCACATCGACATCCATTATCTAACCGATGAGCACTCTCCCTATGGTTTCACCGCCCCGACGCCGGAGAACTTCGCCGACTACGTCGGAAAGACGCTCGGCATCGACAACGACACGCACGTGGTCCTCTACGAAGGCAAGGTCAAGGTCATGACAGCACCTAGGATGTGGTGGATGTTCCGCCTCTTCAATCACGACGCCGTCTCCGTACTCGACGGCGGATTCCAGCAGTGGGTTGGGGAGAACCGAACGGTGACGGAAATACCGACGCCCGTGCCAGAACCGGTGGAGTTTAAGGTGACTGAGAGACGAGAGGATCTCTTCAAGAGTTACGAAGACGTCCTGCAGAATGTAAAGGATCCTAAGATCCAGATTATGGATGCCCGTCTTGTGGAGTGGTATGATGGATCACAGCCCTCTGTTTACGAAGGTGAAAAATCCCTTTGTATACCCTGCTGGAAAGAACACACTCATTCACACACATTCACAGTGTGAATCACAGTGTGCTCCACAATGTTAAATTGGGGCGTTTTTACATTGTGGTCGATTCGTTTCACACTGTGGTTCACAGAATGGATAACCGGAAAGGGAAAGAACACACTCATTTACACTCATTCAAAGTGTGAATCACAGTGTGCTCCACAATGTTAAATTGGGGCGTTTTCACATTGTGGTCGATTCGTTTCACACTGTGGTTCACAGTGTGGATAACCGGAAAAGGAAAGAACACACTCATTCACAGTGTGAATCACACTGCGTTCACAGTGTGAACTGTGATTTCACACGGTGATTCACACTGTGAATGAGTGTGAATGAGTGTGTTCTTTCCAGCAGGGTAGTCACCCTTTCTCAATAATTACCTTTCTCATCGATCGTCATCTTTCATCGGCAGGCCTTTCCTGATCGTCACGTTTTGGTCATTATATTACACTTGAATGATCAGTCATTATTTTTCTCGATCGTCACCCTTTCTCTATGATCATCATCTTTCTCTTTGATCGACATCTTTCTCTTTGATTGTTACTTCTTTCTGATGATTTATTTGCCTTGGTCGTTACCCGTCTCCCTGACATCACCTTTCTTTTTGATCGCCTCCCCTACTCCTTTGATCATCACCTGTCTGGCAACATAATTAATTGTTACCCTTTCTCTGAACCTCTTTTTTTCTCGCTAATCATGCTGATCGTCAGCATTTTCTTATATCGCAACCATGGTCACCATTTTCCAATTATTCTTCTGATCATCACATTTCTCTTTCCTCGTCATCTCTCCGACCATCAGATTTCTTTTCGATCCTCACTTCTCCCTGATTGCTCATCGTCATTAGTGTCTGTGCTCCTCACGCTTTATTCTGATCATACCCAAATCAAACAGAATGGAAAGGACAAAACATTATAAGGTTAAAAGTTTCAAAGCCTCTACAGAGATTTCCTCATAATGGGAGAGGGGGAGGGGGGATTGGGTTCTGATCACACCAGCTTAGACATAACTCAATGAAATATGCAGAACTACCAACAACCAACACAGTCGATCGCTTAAAAGATGTTTATATAGTCTCTTTCTATCTCATCAATGTTCATTGCTGTTATACTCTTTGATCATAATAATAATAATAATAATAATAATAATAATAATAATCTCTTAAAGTCCACTCCGAATTTTATTAAGTTAAACCGAAAATGGAAATTCTTATTGCCCAATATTGATCGTGAGCCCGGCAGCCATTGAGCAGCGCCAGATCGACGTTGCTCTATCCCTTATTGTTGAACGCCAAACAAGGTAGCAGCAACTCCCGTCTTTTAACGTCTTTTGGTATGACGCGGCAGGGGTTCGAACCCACGACCTTTCTCTTGTATTTTCATATTGAAATATTTTCTCGCCCTACGTAATCATTCTCCATGCGCAGGTATCAACCTTGGAATCATGAAGATGGCGACCAATATCCCTTTCACCAATCTCCTTGTCGATGACGGCTCCGATAAGTTCAGGTCACCCGCCGAACTCAGGGCCCTCTTCAAATCCAATGGCATTGACCTGTCTCGACCTTTGACCGCGTCGTGCTTCGTGGGCATCACTGCCTCCATCCTGGCCCTAGGCGCCTTCCATGCAGGGAAGGAAGACGTGGCGGTGTACGACGGATCGTGGGAAGAATACTCCCAGAAAGGACCCGAAGATTCAATGAATTTATACACGTATGAAAAGGAACCTTAGACCGCCATTTTGTTTTTGTTTTTATTATGAAGGTTCAGATTAGTAGGTTTGATAAGTGAATATAATATTGTTTTAAAGGTTAACATAGACGAAGATTCATCTCCTCGAAGGTTCCTTCTAAGGTTCGATGCTCCAAAGATTCAATTAGCCAAAGTTGTAATTTAGTATCAGAAGGTTCATTTTATATCCAACGGGTCACATATCCAAAGGTTCATTTGTCGGAAAGTTCATTTATTCGAAGGTTAATTTCATCTCACAGTGTAGTTGATATGTCGGAAATTGTATTTATCCAGCTTAAAAATAAAGGAGATTAATGCCATAACATGATGACTAACATCAGGTTGATGTACCTTGGGGGAACTATGAATTGTTTGGGATCAAATTAATGACCTTTCGGGATTGTCGATTAATAAACCCCTGGTGTAGGAAATTGGCGAGGACGGAATTATGAACCGGCGGAATATCGAACACGTCATCTACATGTATTTGAAAACTATCTCTATAAGTTAGATACCACAAAGTTTATTCATATCCATCATGCGCTTTTTAATGGCGATATTTGAGGCTGCTTCATTTCTTGTACAAAACGTTAAATTCCTTTGAAAAAACGCGTTTCTATTCATGTTTATGCTACAAGTATAGATCTATTTTTAGCGATTGCTTTGTTCTTGACCATTAAAAAGGTACTGAAATAATAGAATATGATAGGAAATTACGTAATAGAAGTATGCAGAAAGTCAAGTTCGTAAAAAGTATTCTTGTATTATGTTCCACAGGACTGGTATTGACAGCGTCGTAAAAGTTTTAGATTTTTCACATTCTAAACTGATTTTGAGCATTAATTATTCATCACTGTGCAAACGGCATGATTGAAAATATGAAACACATCGGAAGGTTCTTGTGTAGTTCTCCTGTTTGGCACAATACTACTATTGTAACTCCATTATCATTACCCAGATAAAAAAAAAAAGGTCAACAAATTAAGTCCACAGCATAAATAAGATCCATGGGTGGTATTCCGGTAGCGCGTACTAAGTTAGCGCGTACTTAGTTAGTTCACACTTTTATGGAGTGCCTGTTGCAAACTAATTTACCCTGTACAGATTATTTTAATCCTTCAATGAAAAGTGTCCAAAAAATAAATTTTGCAATGAAATGGGAAGAAAAAGATAATATGAGTATGACCTGAATTTCAACAAAGTCTTTGGTAGATTATCTTTGTCATGAATATTGAAGGAGGAAGATGAAACCTAGCATTCCATAGAAGTGTGAACTAAACTTATTGTTTAGTCTGGACTTAGTCCCAGCTTAACTTATGAGAATACCACCCCATATGTTTATACGGTTATATGTTTTTATCTGAATAAAGATTTATTTAAACAACAACAACAACAACAAAAATAGACATATATATGTTTATACGATAAAAAGTATGAGGCAGACTACTGGACAGACGAGTAGTTTTTCATATTAAAAGTGATACAGAGCTCAGTATAGTCAATGTAACTTGTTATGAAAAACAATGAAAACAGCATCATAATTAAGTACTCGTTGACTCATAATGTTAATGGCCTATATAAACGATATGACAATATAAAGAATAGGATACGAAAGGGGTGTACATTATGCCTAAGTTATGTAAACGTTCATGTACGGATAACAATGGACAAAGTCTAATGTACAATTGTACATGTACGTGAACATGTATTTCATTATGAAACTGGTACCATAATAATGATTCAATAGTGTTATAAAATTTGATTTTGTTTTAAAACTTAGCACGGTGCAGCTTGTTTCAAAATAATCGATTCGATTGAATTTCTGCTTGTGTTATTGTACCTTAATTGAATGGCACTTAGACTTTGTATCACGCTTATGTGTAATAAACAGAGTTCATTTGTAATCTTGGTCAGTTATTCCGATCATTTATGTTCAATTGCCAAACGTTAAATCGATCTGTTCCTATGTCTATGCAGCTTTTTTCTTTTTTCAGCAGTTCTACATTGCATGTATCAGTGTTTAATTTGCCTGAAACTCGCATTCTTATTCTTGCAAATTTCTATGTAACAAAATAAACCTGGAGTACTAAAGTTTGATTACATTATTTCACACTTTTTTGGCAATACCATCTATAATTTTGTCTTCCGTATTAGAGCTTATTAAGAAACCCTTCCCAGCCCCCCTAAAAAAAAACAATGGGAATTCAGTTCGGTCAAATGGTCTGCCCAAACATAGTGCGATGTGGGCAAAAAGATGACGCTCCCATTTGGGAATGATGCCGCCCCTACCCGTTCGCAATGTATGGATATATGCATCTGCTTTATATTACTGTGAATGGGTCTGAAACAGAACCTTTTGTTTTCATACCGATCAAGAAATTATTACCAAATCTATGATCTTGAGTGACCAGGCGCGTACGCAGGATTTTTTTCAAGGGGGGGGGGGGGGTTAACATTTATAAATCGGGCCGAAAATTTCGCAACGACTCAGCCAGCCGCTGAATAAGCGGGGGAGAGGGGGGGGGGGGGGGGGGGGGGGGTAAGAGGACACTTAGGGGGGTTAGGGGGTTATGGGGGGTTTACACACAGAAAAATACCAAAGGGGGGTTTAACCCTCAACCCCCCCCCCCCATGTGTACGCGCCTGTGAGTGACATTAGTTCACATTACTACCTTGCACGCTCAGAATTAAAAAAAACAAAAAAATTAAACAAACAAACAAACAATCCCAGTATAAACTAAACAAATAACAACAAATTTAAAGACAAGAAGACATAATCAATTTGTAATTTGTTTACAATATATAAAAGCGGAGTTATTATTATTATTATAGAGATCATGGGGCAGTCACCATGGAAGGGGCTCCACGGCAAGAAATATATTGGTGCTATGCTATCTTATAGCACGCTTAGCAATTCAATTTTCATTTTTAGCACGATCGCAACTCCTTCATAAGAATTAACACAATTGCAATGTGACGTACAAGATTTTTCGTAACTTCTTGAGATTGTGTTTTCTTTTCTTTTCTCGTTCCCCATTTTTTCCTTTCCTTTCCTTTCTTCAAGTTTCATCGGATCTGGGAATGGGTCTTTAAATTTGCGCGTGGAAAACAATTAGATCCTTTCTTCCTTTTCAGTCACTAAGCTTCTGATCAGTGATACTTCACATTCAGTCAAATAAAAAAAAACTAACGCCACTTGTCTTGATTGGCAGATTGGCAGATTACATCAATGGACACTTGGATCACCTAGACAAAGAGGGCATAACAGTCTACGTCGATAAACGCTTTGTCACATCTTTCAACTTGAAAAACATAATCAATACTCGCAACCCGGCCCCGATTAATTTGTAACAGGAAGGCAATAATAGTCACTAGGAGAATTTGCTTCAATTGGTTTGTAAATCCATGTTACAAAGGAGACATTATGAAAAGGGGGAGGGATAGATCTTCGCTTAATCAAAAGGACACATTTAATTGACACATGTTCTTCGTCTTCGGCTGAATAATCAACCCGACCTCCGATGGCCAGTGTATCTTAATATGATCACTTTTATTTTGCATGGTACATGAAAGATATTTTAGGCTCCTTTATTTACAGAAAAACATAAAGGGGTGTAAAGAATGGTCGCGTGGCAACATATGCGAGGAAGTGGGGGGGGGCAGGGGCGGTCGCACCCCCTGAAACGAATGGGAGGCAAAACGTATTTTCGCCCCCTCTAAAAAAATTCCGCATGCCCCTTTATTTATCAATAGAGGATTTCAAAAAAGCGATACGCGCATATCGTGGAAATCTTATGAGAGGGTGGGAAAGCGTGTGTGTATTTTATTATAGGGGTGAAAAGTGAGAAGACATGATCCCCTAAGCACTGGCGTACTGATGGGGGGGGGGGGGGGGCTTGAGGGGTCAGTTGCCCCCAAATAAAATTAAAACGTGGTTTTTCTAATTCGTTACCAGTGATGTACAAATGTTGCTGAAATGACATGATTTTCCGGGACTTTTTGTCAATTTTTTGTTTAATTGTACTTTTGTATGTGTTTGTTGAAAAATTACAAATTCCCAAATTCACAGCCAGGCAAAAATATGCTTATTTGGAAGCCTTTAAGTCGGGACCTGCAGACCGGCGGGCTCGGGTGCTCGGTGGCTCGAGCCCCCCCCCCCCCCCCTCACTCTTTTGTGATATGTTAAAAAGGAAAAGAAAGAAAGAGAGAAAGAAAGAATGAGAGGTATCAAAATATGCTTATCTGACCGTAATTAAAAGATAGACCGTAATTAAAAGCCCCTGGACCCCACGCTAATTAACGCTCTACCTGATTTTAATATCCCACTTTGAAAAACGTTGCGCGGAGCCTGCATGTAACATGTACGAGTGGAGGTGATGCAGATTTTATTATTCTGCCCCCACAAATGTTTTTAATTATTACGCCACTACCCCCTGAAAGATGAGCCCCCTGAAATGTTTGTTCCCCCCCCCCCTTCCATCCCAAGCTGCTTCCGGCGCGTCTCCGTGGCAAGGGTAAAGATAAGCAAATTAACTCATGTACGTCCACTGAATCTCGAACGTTTTCTTTTACTTGGAGCGAAGTTGTTATCTGTTTTAATTATTCATCATCATTTCAATCATATTCAATGTGATTCTAAAAATCATATAGGATACTTCCATCAATAATTCCTAGGTCCATCTCAACTGGCAGCATGCCTGAATAGTTTATATTTGTGATAAGCATCTCAATCAAGATCTATATATTCTATTTTCGTCAAATTACGAGATCATTATCAGCATTATAGGCTCTTGCTAAACACCTATTCCAAACAGGATTGATGAATTTGTTTTTGAGAAATATATTGAAATATAGGGCAACGTTTCGGAGGCCTACCACTCACTTTTTATAAAGGACAATAGCTTTCATATCAATGTCAGCACTGGGTCAGATATACATGTCAAAAAGCAACTACGGTGTGAGCTCAATTCAGAGGGTTTTAGTGTCATATTTCCGCAAATGTTGTTGAAGATATATATTTCTAAATAATTGTGTTGGTGGAAATGAAAATAACTCGATTCTGTTTTGTTGCACATCGTACATAAGCTCATAGGACACAGAGTTATCATACACTAGAGGGGGGGGGGGGGGGGGGTCGGTCGAGGTGTGACACCCATGATTGTATACTTGATGGAAGATGTGTACCTCTGTCGGCAAATATTATCCGACACCCCCCCCCCCCCCACTACTCCACTACCCCTCCTTACAGATGGTCCAACGAAACTTCAGCGCATGGGGTCTTTAAAGGCCGTCAATACTACTGGGCCAAAAGGGATTAAACCACACAGCAAGGTCACTGACAGATGGCTATCTCATTAACTCAGCTCTCAACTAACATAAGAAAAAGAGGATCACGGGGGACCAACAGGCACCGATTGGGGAAGTTTTCTATATAGAGGGAGCAAGTAGCTACAAGTAGGACAGTGGGGCTTTAAACAAACAACAATTTGGTCCTCATCGTTCGCTCATTATCACATTCAAGTGTGATAATGAGGGATAAATGATTAAAGATAATGATTTCCTTGGTTTCTAGGAGCGAAGTCTGACACTGCATGCTCTTCAGATCGAGTGTAACAAACTTAGCATGCGCTTTCTGATTATTTACACGATTAAATATCCTTCGTGCGTGGCAAGTATTTCAGCCTCTTTCGACAAATTGATTTCGATTCCATCTCCTTCTCTCCATCGGGGAGGTGTTATTCCCCGAATGCATTCATCAAGATTTACAAGGCGATTTCTTTTGTGCCATATCAGCTCTAAAAGAAAGTCCCGCTGAACAAAAGCAGGCGATCAATCGCGGCGATCGATTGATAAATGGACAGATGGGAATTGCACCGAGTTGTCAAAAGGCAGGGGCGGTGTGCACAGTATTTGTCTCTCCAGATGCAATTGTTATTCTCAACAGGCATATATTTTTAAAAGTATGAGAGTAAGTTGTTTACTCTGATGTGGTTCTTAGCAGCCATCTTTTTTACCTTATCTCGTCTCTACCTTTCGCCACTCTGACGATGACGTACTTTGGGGATGAATTTAAGGCCTCCTGACATCTTGTTAGCTTTTGTTTTGTTGCCGCCACGTTATAAAGCTTTTATCGAACCAATTCGTAATCCCTCAAGGAAAGTCGATCAGATTTTAAAAGGATTAACATTGCGATGTACAAAGGATGCGGTTACGTGGATCTAATTACTAATCATTAATCGGCAGTGTTGCTCACGTTCACCTTTCTCGGGGACGTCTCCTTTCATAGTGCAGAGATGAATTGGATAAGTGTGTACTAATTGGTCGATTGTCTCCGTTATGTTCCAAGTGCACCAACGTCTATGGAATACATTTTTGAGGTATGTCATTGCAAACGTCAAGGAATAAAACAACTGAATGAAAAGACAAGTTATTAACCGACATCTCAAGAGCGAAGTTCAAGTTCGACTGAACTTTGTTTAGATCAACTGATAAGGGTTCGAGTAATGTTGTGCCATCACGCTGCATTATTTGCGTCAGTTTTTTTAATTCCGTAGCAGGAAAATGGGACACATTGACGACCAGGACGTGAGTTATTTACAAAACATTTTTATCGACAGCATGTGCTTCTGGTTAGTTTGCCGTCTTTTAACGAACATTGGAGAGGGCATATATGTTATATCATAATTGTCTACACTTTCGCATTAATTCAGAATTTGTAAGTATGATTGATTTTGAAGAGGTGAATAGTTTCCAGCTGAACATATAGCCCACCGGCAATAAATTAATCGTGATAGCTAGTTCACCTCAAAGGATTTTCATTCAGAAAATCGAATGCTGATTTCAGATGTTGGCGAATAAATTTTTGACAAATAGGCCTCGGCATTTTCGACAGAGTTCATTGCAATGTATCTGTGCACTTGATGTTAAGTGGTGTAACATGAACCATACTACGGGATGAATGTGAAGTAGGCCTATGCCTTACATCTAGATCGAGCCGCAAACAAATGCAGAGCATAAGACAAACTTCAAAACAAACTGCGTTGTGTAAAACGCCCAAACATGAATACTGTTTATGTTTGCTTTAACGTGTACAAGTCGACTGATTAAAATGAAAAAATGTCTGGACAAAATCAGACGATGACATTAAGATGAGCAAGAGGAAGGAGAGTCATCACCATGGCAGTGGTGTAGTCAGGAATCGGCCCGACCATACCGCACGAGAGGGTGACGACCGTACGAGGAATCGACGGCTGGCGGACGTCAGAAGAGGGAACGAGAGTAGACATCAACTTGAGCTCCTCACTAGTGCCCAGGGAGGGAGTAAAAAACACTCGTCGACGCCTTCATCGTGGAGGTCGGAATCGAGAGCCTTCGAGACGTTGTCGGTGAAGGAGAAAAGAGAAATCATATTCCCGAAACCGCCTGAATTAGAAGCCAGACATTCTTGCCCAGCGTTGCCGGCAATTTCTTCGTCGTTGGGACTTTATCATGACATTAGTTATTCAACAAAGCAGAGTCCTAAAGCAGGATCAAATAGATCGCTACATGTAAGCGCAAATTTTAAAACAAAAAAGATGAAGCAAGACGGAAGTCTAAACCGAAACTTTCCAAGAGATGAACAAAGAATAGTGAGGACAAACTCTCTGGATATTATTGCGACTTCTCATCACCCGCCGTCAAAAGCTGCATCAAAATATAAGATGGGAAAGCTTATTTCCAATTTAACATCAGTACCTGCAAAGAACCACCATGCTAAATCAATTCAAAACGAATCAAAGCCGTTAAGAACGTTTAGTGTCCCGGATATTACCAATCCCAGTCAGTCTTCAGAAACTCGCCTTAATGTCAAGGAAGCAGACAGTTCTAGCTCAAATAAAGATGGAAAGGAAACCGGTCTAGCGATCTTAACAAGTCGTCGTTATTCTGTTCTTCTTAACGGTGGCACCTTAGCAACAAATGCACCGTATGTGGACAGAATCGAAAGTAAGGCCATTGGTCTGAATCAAACACCTAAAGGTGAGACTAATCATCAGAGGAAAGATCTCGACAGTGGTCTGCAAAACACAACAACCGATAGTGTCACTGCGGCAAAAGGTCGCAAAGATCATCTGCAAAAACCTACGACTGTTCCTCTTAAACGTGAAAGTGTCCATTCGCCTAGTCGCCGCCACGGAAGGCATCTGAGAAGCCACAAAGAACTATTCGCTTTCCAGCAGGACTTGCTGCTTCCTCGATACAGGAAGCTGGCTGGGATAAGTGGTAACGATGCCGACGATGCTATGTCGCAAAATGAACAACGGTCTGCAGACGCGAAGACTCGACGATCGGATGCAAGAGAAGTCTTCGAGAAGGTTCGTCTTATCATCAAGGGACCGGATAAAGTAGAGACTGTCACGAAGCCTACAGGTAACTAATCTCATCATTATTTTGAATGTGACTGTAACGGTCAAATCATTCATTAGGCCTGTCAGTCATGGGAAACTAACAGAAACCGTGAAAAGCTAAGTACATTCCTTCCAAAGTGAAAAACTTTTTTTGTACTAGAGTTATAAATTCGAAAAGTACCACATGCATCAATAAAAATCTTATGGACATAACATACATTTCAGAAATGTAGGGGGAATGAATCGTTTAAAAACATTCGTATACATTATCAATGTTTCAATTGTTCATCAGATTTGCTACATTTAATTTTAGATGAAGTTTATCGACAAATTTGTAATAAAATTATTTGATTAATGCTTACAATTTGGATAGATTGGACTCGTACTGAACTCCCAAAGAATATGTAACAATTGAAATAGAATAGAATTGCATTTTATGAAGCAACTCTTGTCACTTTTCTCTCCTTTCTGTTGTTTCCATTTCTTTCAGATCGTAAAGTTCCTCAAATGATGCCTATCTACCTAAAGTCAGGCCTGCCTTGTGGCTATGTCGACTCGTCCAATAAATGCGATGCCTGGTTGTACGCCAATGACTTTGATGATTGAAATAAAGCTATATATGTGAAAAGGCTTTCTGTTATTTGAGACGTAGTGAAACAATCGATCGGGAAACGATGCCCAAAGGCGAGGATGATCGTCACCCAAACAATATCGACTGTCGTCTGCAAAAACACGACGGCCGTCGATCGTCTGCGAAAACAAACGACAAATCATCTAGAGGTTGTCGCTTCCATTTTCTAACTGTCTATCTAAATGATACTAATCTGTTGAAAATCGTGCTTGCCATCATAGTCACGTGAATATGCCGAAATTGTTGTCGTAAATCTGATGCCTGGTTGTTGGCTAATTATATGATTGAAAGCTGTGTTTAAACCCCTAGATCTAGAGGTAATGGTTTTGGCAGTGCGAAGATTTTCATAAGGGGGTAGCAACTGGAGGGCAATAGTGTTTGTGGAGGAGACGGCTTAAAGATTCAGAACCTGACAATTTTTCATATTTCACCAGCCAGCCGACCTCGCTCAGTTTGGGGTGCCTATAAAAATTGCCTATGAAATTCGTATTTTATGGAAATTAAAAACATTTAATTGTTTTACGAGATCTAAATGGAATGGAGAAATACCAAGAATACACCCTCACAGAAAAATATATATAATGTCGATTAGTAAAATCAGAACAAATTGGTTTCACTGAAATAGTTATTGCGTCTTGTTCGCTTTGTTTTTCCTTTATTTGGCCTAAATTATTCTAAGATTATGCCATATATTCCATATAGGCTAGTCATATTTACAATGAAATATATTGCAATGTTAAAATAATTCGTTATAACAAAATATGTTTTTCTTTACTATGGTTACATTACAAATTCAATATGAATTATTTTTAATTAAAAAAAAAAGTAAATTTAAACGTGCTTGAATCCAGCTGTAATAGCTTTAAAAAGCATTTTAAAGTTTGTTAACGAAATCTTATCGTTCAAATTAGCACAGAGAAAAATGGCCAATTTTATTTTCTGTTTTCAGAATACTTTTCTCGACATGCTTTGGTAATAAAAACTATTGATATATTTATCGTTGGGACATTTTCACCTGTTGTGTGTATCTATTGGTAATCCTGATGTTATAATGATGTTCGAAACGTTTTTAATAGGACATTTGACATTCGTAGTAAGATTATAAAGTAGAATTGATAGTTTATACGTTCCAAGATAATATTAAGTCTATTTTTGTATACTAGATGGCCATGGCGCTAAGCAAAATTGCCAATTTAATGAAAATTTCAAAGTTGTGTAATTATCTTTTATATCTATTCAAAATGGACTAATAATATGAATACATCATATTTTGTTATGTGACAAAATGTAAGTGTTTCAAGGTCAGCATCATTTAAGTCGTAGAAGTAATGTGTTTAAAGGAAACCTCACCCCAAGTAATAACTTTACCAATCCTAAGAGATTTATTATATTAATCTATACAATTCCCCACAATAGTGTATGAGAGAAACTTAAAAGGTTTTGCTATTGATTTAAAAAGTCTTTCCATCGAAAGCTTGGTGCATGACATATGTACAACTTCACCAAGAACTTCACATTTTCAAGAAAATGGCTACGCCCATGTCATGCTAAAAGGCATCACATCATGTCAACAAAATTGTCGTAAGGGATATTGTACATCAAAGGCCAGGAATACATCTCATTTTTCAGAATACCTACACTTATTCTTTGGGGTTTTGGTTTCCTTTAAGGCAATATTGACCTCCGTAAGTCTAGGTCTATACTGTTACCCTTTTATCATAATTTATTGATATATCGTACCTCTTTTCACATTTCTAGCTATACTTACTACTACTACTACTTCTACTACTACTATCTATCTATCTATTCATCTCTCTCTCTTTCTCTCCCTGTTATTATTACTGTTTCTTTCCACTTATATACTATCTCTTATAAATATGTTCCCCTTATTCTTCCTGACATCTTTCATGTATCATTCTCTTTTATTGTTTCTCTTTGTATTTTCTGGGACTCAGTAACTGCATGATTCTCACTCACTATTTACAGTTCCCTTTGTATGTCTTCTTCTCTCTCACCCACCTTTGCCACCACCCCTCTCCAAGTACATACTATTACCCCCCCTCTCTCTCTCTCTGTCGATTCCTATATATTCCCCTCTATCCCCCCCCCCCCATATCTCACTCCCTCCCTCTCGATCTCCATTCATCTTTCTCTTTCTCTCACTGAAGTTACATGCTATAAAATTTATTCAAATTATTGTTCCCCATCAACTCTCTCCGTCTCTATCTCTCCATCTATCTCCCTCTCTTACTCTCACCGAAGAAACATGCTGTAATGTTTATTCAAATCGACATCCTTAATCAACCTCTCCTCTTCCTCTCTCTCTCTCTCTCCATCTATCTCTCTCTCTCTCTCTCTTACTCTCACCGAAGTAACATGCTGAAACATTTATTCAAATCAACGTCCTTCATCAACCTCTCCTCTTACTCTCTCTCTCTCTCCCTCTCTCTCCCTATCTCTCTCTATTCAATCCGTCATTGATTTTAACATAAATATATGTACCAGTCTCTTTCAATTTAACGGATGCTCCCTGTTCATATCATGTGACAAAGCAGACAAAATAAAGTACAATTAAACATGTGCTTTGCTTCAGAAATAATTTATGCAACTCTTTGACATAATTTTACAGAGCATAACAATCAAAAGAAGAAAAATGCATACATCAAATTGTATGCATAAAGCTATGTTAAGAACATTTCATTGTAAAGTGGTATTGCATATTGACAATCAAATGCCAAACACTTTTAATTTCAATAAAATCGAAATATAGACAAAATGTAATTATATTTTATTTAATCATGCATTCTATAAGGCAAAGTTATTTTGATGTTTGGTAAATAAAAGGGATATTCCAATATATGTACCTGTGGTCGTTGTTTTATCTTTTAATTTCATTTGGGTCAATAGTGTGTGCTGTATGAAATGCCATAATATCCCTGTTCAAATTTCAAGGTGTGTGCAAAACTGTTGAGAATACCATTGCCTTTTGTACCTAATGTTGTTGATATATACGCCAGTGATCAAAAATGAAAACAAACTTCATACTGGGTTTAAAACCCAAGCTAAATCGCTCCAATAAGTCTACTCATCAAAAGACCACCAAATATCAACATCTACATACCACACAATAGGCGGTGTCACACAGAGGCCAATAATCCGGATTTTAGTTATCCTCTTAATTGATGTCTGTCTCCAATTATCCCATTAAAAATCCTCTAACGAAGCAAGAAAATTCTCCCTTGAAAGGATTTTTCAAGGGATTTTTTAAGGGATTTTTTGTGTGACACCGCCTATAGTAAAATAATTCTACTACTAAAATAATTGAGAAGATTGAGTCATCATGGCTGATTTTTTTAAACCATAAAAACCATACATCAGGAATTTCAAAGCTATACAACTCTTGTTAATGGTGAATTGGTGATCTATTTGTTGTTGTTTTTTCTCAGTTGGGAAACGTTGTACAAATGCCAAAACGATTAAACTTTGGAAGTTTGGATGGATTTTTGCCATAGTCCCCAAATAATTTGGTAATAGGTATACATGTTCCCTATGTATACAATATATACATTCCATTACAAAGATAACCTACCAGTATTTTACTGATTGACAAATACAAAGTATCAGCATAATCATGCATAGCAAAAATGAAAGACCGAGCAGAAAAAGATTCTCTAGATAATACAGAACAACTTTTGTTGAAAATGATGTCTCTCTCTTTCATGTTTCAGGAAGTACGTGTGGAAGTATTCTTATTTATCAGGATAATCTGGTCTGCCGAGAGCCAGAATGGCATTAACTCTGATACTTTACAGTGTAGAGGCCCTTCTTGCTCTGAATACAGTATGTGAATAAATCCTAAAGGCATACTTGTGTTTTACATCCAATAATACAGCTTATCCCCATAATGTGCATTACTATAAAACAAAAATTGCCCATGGTTGTTGCCATACACTTGCAACTCATTGACGTACATGTACTAGAATAAGGACATATCATCCGCTGAGAGAAAAAAAAGGATTAAACTCATTTCATTTTACACATCATTAACACCCTTCTGCCTCTCAACAAACGATATGATGAAATTTTTTGCTAGGACCAAAAGGGTGACAACTCCTATCCTACTACATTTTGGCCCATATCCATAAAACATTAATGAGCCTAGATGTGAACTACCTATGTATTCATTTTGTCATTGGAAAGCGTCTGGGACTTTGGTTGGTTGGTTGGTAAGTTTTACCCGACTGCTAAGAAAGCATTGTGTGTATGCTCGTAAGTAAGCAACCAGGGGACCGACAGCTATAAGTCCTCTCTGAGGGACTTGGTTTCATATCCGGACCTCCGGTTACGAGACCACTGCTCTACCAGTAAGCCACCGCGCCTCACTCACTGCACTCGCTGTCCGACAACGGGAGAGGAACTTCCAAATACAGAGTCCTTTGTTGTATCTTCAGCCTCTTCCACTGACCACCCAAGGTCCAATTTGTCAATGTCTTACTGACATCTGGCATGTAATTATTAGATTAGTAAGGTTTAATGGGCCCAGATGAACACCCTCACGGCCCTCACCAAGTGATCTGATATACATTCTGGTGTCTAATAGAGACGCAATTAACTTGCCTTCTAAGAATCGTTCAATGTGAAGTCATTATTGATTTAAACATAATTAACAATTGATTGAAGTTTACTTGTTTGAGTAATAAGAAAGCAAGGTTACATGTTTGGAAGGTCATAGGTCGCCATATAAAAGGATTATACACTGCAGCTGTTAAAGGGGTCCAAGCACCCCCCCCCCCCCCTCAGTAGTTTATTCATCATAACCCTAAAAATACAGAAATCACTTCGGCAAAAATAAGAGTATGGAATATTTTTCGGATACCTTTACACAACAGTTTGAAGAAAAAGAGAGAAATAGGCAGCAATTGTAATATTTTGAAGCTGATACATTGTACTTCCAATCTGATCTATACTGACACAAAATCCCAAACTCACAAATCAAATTATTTTATGGTGAATGGTCTCCTTAAAGTGACTTGGTAACATTGTTGAAAGTTGATGAAAAAATTGCTTAATTTTTGTATGAAATGTTACTTACTATATTCCTTTTACTGTACTAACCCTCTGACATGAAAAAAATTCTGAAAAAATTCTCAAACTACAAAGATATCTATGGTTTTCTTTGAAGGCGTCTATGTACGACACCCTCTAACAGTGATTAACAATAAATTCTCCCAACCATTTTTCAATTTTCCCAACCGTGTTTCCATGAAAAAAAAGACAATAAAACAGGCTATAAAAAATCTATCAACACTTAAATGTCTGGAATGGAATGTAGAGCCATTTTATTGCTTAATTTTGTGAGATCAGATCAGTTTTTCCCAATTTGTACCATGAATAATGGTCCGTTTTCACTCAAATTTTCAGATTATCTTTAATTATACATCTAGCATTGAAGTCACTACCTTAATTAGCACCACTATCTCTCATCTGAACAATGTTACCATGTCCCTTTAAAGTTTAAAAAGCAATGAACTAGATACAAATAAATGCCTCGATCATCTAAGAACACTATACCTCTTGGTTTGATCCCAAGTCATTCATTGACAAGACCACTTCTCCATCTTAATGAGCCATCATATAATCTTTATCTATATTCTACTATACCACAAGGCCAAATCACATTGATTTTATACATTTATGGTACTGGCAAGTTTTATTGAAAATCAATAATATTCTTAAAAGACATTATGTGATAAATCGCAGGCCACTTAAATAAGAAATCCCATTCAAGATAATTGCATAGATAATGGACGGAAACTCATTTTATTAGCTGGTGACGGATTAGTCTATCCGGCACACACCTTTTGAAAAAATATTCTGCCATTGGGTGTAGCAATATGTAATCCCATGTTTTAAAGCACTTCAAAGAAAACAAAACTATGTTCAATACAAAAACAAAAGAAATCAGTTAAATTTCTTTAGAATATAATCACAATTTCATTGCAGTTGTGAACTTTTTTGAGATTTTGATGTCACTTTATTTGGATTCTTTGTGATTTCATTTTCTGTAATTACCAGAAAGTTCTTAAGAATACCTGTATCCTTTAGATACTAAACCATGATCAACATACATAAATGGCCATTCTGGGGAGTGTTTCACAAAGACTAAGATCAACTTTAAGTTGGACTTAACTATGGCAGGCTGTACATGCCACTGTTTTCTCTAACCATTTACTGCACGATATCTTCCAATCAACCCACTGCATATTGCTGTACATTGCAACAGTGCAGAAATCAGAATGCACATGGGAGAATCACTTTGTACAAATGATTTTTAGGTTTAGGAAATATCTCATGGCGTCTCGCTTTCATTTTAGACATTTCTTCCTACAAAATTTGCAGTTTAGTAAGGCAAAACACTGTAAACATACTCATGGATATATAACAGTAGAGGCGCACAGCCAGTAATGGGAGCCTCTTCTGTCTCAGATTGTTTGTATTGTCAGAGGCTTTTGTCAAGATTTTTGGTAGCCAATTTGGGAGACAATCTCCTCTTGACAGTTCAATTTTTCTTTGTTTAAATTCGCTGCAAAGGATTACCTTGGCTCAGCTTGAAAGTAAGCAGATTCCTCTTGAAAAATTACCTCTATTGACTGTCCCCTACTTTGGTTTTTTACCACATTATTTTGTTCTGATCCACAAAAAAAAAAAAAAAAAAATGGGCTTTCCTCTTCAGGGAGGCAAAATTGTGGCTGGAAAAAAACTGCCTTGTTGGTGCTATTTCTTTTGTCCTGTCTCTCAAGTGGGAGAGAGTCTCCCACTTTGGGCATGCACCTCTACTCTATAATGGAGGATGGTAGACCAGACTCCTTCACCAATATCTACAGCTCAGGGGGGTCCCAACATGACTGGCCACGCACCAGTGTCCAGAAAAAGCGGCGAAAGGTTTTTTTTCTAGCTATACGGCGGCATCAACGCTTTCCTTAAAAAGGGGTCAGTGTTTTCAAGTACTGATCGCAAAAAAAGCAAATTTTGCAGATTCACAGGTTTCGATGTTTTCTTTAAAAAAAAAGGGTCATTTCAGAAAAAGTGCGATACGCCATTAGGGTCCATTTCTAATGTTGACGGATACGGGTGGGTAGCATTTGTGTATGAGAGTGACCCCCCCCCCCCCCCCCCCCCCCCGTGGGATCTACAGTTTCTAACACATCTGAATTGTGCAGTCTAAAGTACGCTGTTTGATATAAACCATTAATATAAAGGCAAGTGGTGATGATCAGGCATGCAATTTCATCTTCGGAACAAAATCCTCTTTGAGAAGCGATGCATGTTTCATCTGCTACAGTTTCCTGTGACTCAACCCTGTGATATATATATAAACAACATGATTTTTATTTCTCGATTTGAATACAGTGTGCCTACTGCTGTGTCACACTAATTCAACCTTAACAAATTTGTCAGTGCAGAAATATCATGATCAAGTCAATCCAGAGGCAGTTTATCTAGTGATTAGTGACCTTTAACCTCGCTGCTACCCTTGGTCCAAATTGACAGAGCTATATGCCTTTGCAGTTTCCCAAGGGTCAATTTGAGAGAACCAAGGTAGATCTGCAGGTTGGAAGTATGCACTGATATATCTATTGGTTTAATGTAGGCCTGTCTTCTCTATCTCGAGATCGCCAAATATCCAGCTATTTGAACTATCCAGATCGCAAACTATCCAGCTAATTTGCGCCTTCATCAGACCGAAGTAGCATTTAGAAGGATATTTGGTTAGGATTGTCATCGCAAGATATCTTGGGATAGTTTGCAAAATATCCCACTATTTGGCAAAATATCCAGCTATTTGTCCCGTGCGTCTTCACAAGACCGAAGATTCGCAATACACGCTAACGCTGAGCAAAATATCTCAAGGTCGAGTTTCAAGTTTAGAGTTAGTGAAGACGCGATTTGTTACTTCGGGATTATTTCCCAAATCAGAAATAGCGGGCTATTTGGCAATCTCAAGATGATGAAGACGTGCCTAGTGAGTACATTCGGGCCTTATGACATCCCCCGGGAGGCGGAAGGCGACTAGGCATTGACGTATTTATTACCAATCTCCAGAGAATTCACCCTTGGTAGTTTTTCTGATGTCAGCAACAAGGGTTTGATCTCCTGGCAAGATCCCTGCCTGCAACTGATCAAATCAATTCTGCTTTACTTCTAGAAGGCTCAATAAATTAACAGACGGATGCCACATCAACGAATCTGCATGGTCACCTTGTGCAGATGATTCCTGTTTACTTTGATGATAAAATGTGTACCGTGCTATAAGAGACTAAGCATCACATGTTTGCTTTGCTTCTGGTACCCTGTGCATTTCAACCTGTAGGACAAATGGTAACATCAATTCTCCGTCAAGCATACAAGTTCAAGCAGACAGAGTCCACATTCAAGAACCTGCATGGTGGTAACAACGTTCCTTCAGTAGACTTGAGTAGAATCACACACAACACACTTGCAAGGTAACAACGTGGCACAGATTCCTGATTCCTTCAGTAGACTTCAGTAGAATCACACACAACACAACTTCGCTATGATGCATAGTATCACCTGCTCTGCTTGGCATCAAGCACCCTTTGTCTTAACCTCCCTGATCCCCCGCTCCCAGATCTGCCCGCAGGAGGCCTTGCCGAAGACGGTGGCGACGGTACCATGTTTGTTGGCGATTCTGGCCCTGCACCGCGCAAGCTCCGAATCGGGGACCTTGGCTTATTAGACAGTTCGGTCCTAGACTGTATAGATGTCTTAGTGCCAACCCTGGCTGTTCTACTTGAGTTTGTTTCTGTGGAGAGATGCGTATCGCTGGCACGGCGTGCAGGTGGAAGATGGGATGTGGGGAGCTTGTGGACTGCTTTGACAGGCGCGGCTCTTCCGGCGTTGCCAGCCGAAGGAGGGGGCGATGGACGGAACTTGGCACTCCCAGGAGTCGTTGGACTAAGAGGACTTGGAAGTCTCCGGCTACAATGACAACATGATAATATTTAAGGTAAAGTGAGATAGAGTTCTAGTTTTAAAACTTCCTATTTCTTTCTGAATGAGGAGGGGATTTTGTATTATATGATATTTTGCACTTTTCCTACCTAAAACTATAGGATTTACAAGGAAAACCAACAGATAGTTACCGGAACACTGGTCAAAAATTACGTACCCATAACAAAAATATTGCTGCTGATTTTGGAAGTATAGTATCAATCAAATTTGTTAAAAACCATGTTAACATGTGGTTGCTCTAAGAGCATACAATAAGTTGAATTTTAGATAATAATAATAATAATATAATAATATAATATAATATAATAATAATAATAATAATAATAATAATAATAATAAATAATAATAATATAATATAATAGCCTAATAGTCCCCTCCAAATTTTATTAAACCGAAACGGAAATTCTTTTTGCCCAATTGATTGTGAGCCCGGCAGCCACTGAGCAGCGCCAGATCGACGTTGCTCTATCCCTTATTGTTGAATGCCAAACAAGGTAGCAACAACTCCCATCTTTAAACGTCTTTTGGTATGACGCGGCCGGGATTCGAACCCACGACCTCCCAGTTGTGAGGCGGACGCTCTACTGACTGGACCAACACTCCGGTAAATTACAGTTTAACTAAAATTCAAGTTAAACTAACCCTACCAATTAAAGGCAGGTAGAGGTAAGTTTCAAATCTTAATATGGTCAGAACAAAGGTATAATGCATTGAGGCATATGTAAAATATAAATACTTGGTATGATTGAAGTGAAAACTCTTTGTGCGAGACCTGACACCAAAAGGACAGAAAAAGAGGAGCAATATATGCTATATCATGATGTCAAGCTATGATAAGGTAGGTATGATTCTTATATACATTGCGTCCCAGAAAAACGAAACCGAGAATTATTGATGTTTCATCATAACTTAATCACAATTATAATTAAGAAATGACACATATTTATAAAGCTTAGATCCTTCTCTTTCATTTAATGCAACTCATATGATGCATGTTTCACGCATGAGTGATTGAAACAATTTGAAGAGTCACTTTTAGGGCGGTATCTGAATTTCAAAGAGAAAATCACATTTCTAGAAAGTTCATTTTTTCTGGGATGCACTGTATATAATTACAAGTGAATTTGTAGGACTTACTTGGGTGAGTTTGTCAAGCTGCGTGGCTTCACAGAATTCATGACACTGACAGAGGTCGGGGGTGGGGCACTCTGGACCTCTTTCTCCAGTTTCTTTCTCTCCTCCTTCAATTCTAGAAAATAGATTAAAACAAAAAAAACAAGGAATGAGTCTCAAGAAAGACATCCTAGGTGGTTCATTCCCTGAACTTTCAAACAAATGGTTGAGGTACAAAATAAGTGAAGTGTGGCCTTAAAACATATCAGGGAGGTGGATTTTGAAGACCAAAATGATTTTTAAAGGTTGGAACTGTATATGCATTGACACATTTATTACCCTTGTTGGTAGCAATGTCACCATGGGTGGGTGGGGGAGGAGGGAAAGGGGGGATGGGGGTTTGCCCTTGGCATGTTTTTGTATGAAGACTCTTGTATGAAGGCACTAAAAGGCACACCAAGATATAAAGTGGTATAAAGCATGGATTTCTATTTGTTTGGTTAAAAAAGTGTAAAGGAATGTCACCCGTGCGCATGAAAGGTCCTATGCGTTTCACTAACTTAGCCCTGTGTTATAAGATGGACAAATGTGAAGCGCATTACACTTACGTCATCATTTAAAAAAATTCCACAGTTTACCATGTTAAACATGTATCTGAGCAAGACTTAAGGGTATGCATGCACTGGAGACAACCATGTGTGTACATTTTTTTGTATCTAGCGGTTGGTTCCTACTGGTCAGCGGTTGATCTAAAGGTTGGTTCCTACTGGTCAGCGGTTTGTTTGATTGATTTTATTTCTGCGTTCAAAAATATACAAATTCAAATTCAAAGTACAAAATTTCGAACAATAACAAATACAATGAATACAATGTTTACAAAAGTAATTAAATGAAAAATCATGTTCAATTATATCATTCGATAAACATGTACGAAGCATACAATAACATAAGAAATATGAAATATTTTCAATAAATTAGAGAGGTAATTTGGAACGCAGGAGACCGCCATCGTGAGCGGTTAGGCTGGAGATGGATGGCGGCCTCGTAAAAAGAGGTTGATCTAAAGGTTGGTTCCTACTGGTCAGCGGTTGATCTAGCGGTTGGTTCCTACTGGTCAGCGGTTGATCTAAAGGTTGGTTCCTACTGGTCAGTGGTTGATCTAGAGGTTGGTTTCTAGTGGTCAGTGGTTGATCTAAAGGTTGGTTCCTACTGGTCAGCGGTTGATCTAGAGGTTGGTTCCTACTGGTCAGCAGTTAATCTAGAAGTTGGTTCCTACCGGTTAGCGGTTGATCTAGAGGTTGGTTTCTACTGGTCAGTGGTTGATCTAGAGGTTGGTTTCTACTGGTCAGTGGTTGATCTAGAGGTTGGTTCCTACTGGTCAGTGGTTGATCTAGAAGTTGGTTCCTACTGGTCAGCGGTTGATCTCAAGGTTGGTTTTCTACTGGTCAGTGGTTGATCTCAAGTTTGGTTTTCTATTGGTCAGTGGTTGATCTAGAGGTTGGTTTCTACTGGTCAGTGGTTGATCTAGAGGTTGGTTTCTACTGGTCAGTGGTTGATCTAGAGGTTGGTTCCTTACCTTGTATTGAAGGCTCTCTGATGACTATCGACATTCTAGACTGGCTCCTGAAATCACTCTCATCTTCAAGGCATTCCTGGAGGAACACTGTATCCTTGAGAAGCTGGGAGATCTCATCCTCTAACATGGATCTACAGAGGAAAGAGCCTTAATAGGTTAATTTTTGGCCTTGGATCTCATCCTCTAACATGGATCTACAGAGGAAAGAGCCTTAATAGGTTAATTTTTGGCCTTGGATCTCATCCTCTAACATAGATCTACAGAGTAAAGAGCCTTAATAAATTAATCTTTGGCGTTGGATCTCATCCTATAACATGGATCTACAGAGGAAAGAGCCTTAATAGATTAATCTTTGGCCTTGGATCTCATCCTATAACATGGATCTACAGAGGAAAGAGACTTAATAGATTAATCATTGGCCTTGGGTCTCATCCTATAACATGGATCTACAGAGGAAAGAGACTTAATAGATTAATCATTGGCCTTGGGTCTCATCCTATAACATGGATCTACAGAGGAAAGAGACTTAATAGATTAATCATTGGCCTTGGGTCTCATCCTATAACATGGATCTACAGAGGAAAGAGACTTAATAGATTAATCATTGGCCTTGGGTCTCATCCTATAACATGGATCTACAGAGGAAAGAGACTTAATAGATTAATCTTTGGCCTTGGATCTCATCCTCTAACATGGATCTACAGAGGAAAGAGCCTTAATAGATTAATCTTTGGCCTTGGGTCTCATCCTATAACATGGATCTACAGAGGAAAGAGCCTTAATAGATTAATCTTTGGCCTTGGGTCTTAGACTCATACTCCTCCCTTGATAAAGCAACTCCACTATTTACCTCTACAACAACGCATTCTATTTCAGGTCTGCTTGTATGTCACCTTGTATGGTACCTGGATATCTTCATGACACCCTCCAAATCTACACACCAGCTCACAAACTATGTTAAACAACTAACATTATATGTAAACTAATTATTCCCAAATTCAGACTCTCATCTACAAACATTTTACAGGGACTGTTTCGAAAACATGGAACGGTATCCCACTTTCCATCAGAGAATTAATCTGTCTTGTCTTTTTCAAAAGATCCCTATATAATGTAGAAACCACTTTCCCAATATGTTGTTACATCAACAGTACTAGCAAAAGGCAAATGAGCATACCTGAGTTGGTTGGTCACCTCATCTATCCGTAGTATGTTGAGTTGGTCTTTGACAGAGTCCACCTGGTCACTCACCGTAGAGGTGGCTGACATTCTGAGAATGATGAAGATTTTTTAGAAAGACGGTTAAAAGTCAAAGCTGAAGTAATGGCTTGTTTCTAGGTAAGCCACCCCCACCCAGATTTCTTTCAAACTACTCTGTTCTTTTCTTATTTTACTGCTTTCGCATTGAAATAAACTATTTGCAAAGCTGGGAATGCAGTTGATGCTATGGGGCAATCAAGACTTGGAAGGCTTGCAATCCACAAATGGGATAACAGAACATCATAAATGGGTAGTGTTTAAATGTATTCTTTAGACCATTTGGAATAATAACACCAAAAAAAAAATTTGGAAGAGCCAGGTTATTCCTTATGTTATCTATTGTTTTGATGATTTCTTATGTATTTCCTTGGTTTTTTAATTTATGTATTTTTTTTTTAAAAATATTTTTTTCTAACTATATTTCAACTATTTTGACCCCAAAACAAACACCTAAACTATTGAAAAAATTATATTTTCATGCTTTGTACACAAATCAAGAAAATGAGCCATTTTCGGGCTGACACGCAAAGACAAGAGGTCACATGACTTTGTAACGGAAGGCCCTATTTTCTACAAATTTGTTTCAAAAGATGCGCAAGACTCCAAAGAAAAAAGTCATAAAATTTCAGTGCAAGATTCTTTTGCATTAAAAATGAATCACAACAAATGTAGAGGTGGGGGGGGGGGGGGGGGGGGGGGGGGTTCTAAAGCCTCTCCCCAGGCTATAGGGTTAAGCCTCCCTTTAAAACCATTACTGCCGACCCCCATCTCTTTATTGACAATGCTGGAGCTAGCTTAAATCCGACTTACCCATCACTGTCACTGCTCGGTGTCATTCTCATAGGAGTCTCTCTTCCATCTCTACTACTCATGGAGCTGCCAGGTCTCTGGAGGGTCATCCCGGGACTAGTATCTACAAACAGACCAGAGAATCATTATCAAACTACAATATTATTTATTTTTTTAAACATTTATTTTATTTTCATTTATTTCATTTTATTTGTTATTTTATTTTTTATTTATTTATTTTTTATTTTTTTATTTTTCTTTTGCAATCTACTTCACAGCCCACCTGACTATCAAGATAGTGCAATTATAAAATCAGTGATGGTACTTATACAACCAATCAATTACTAGGAAAAAAGGGTGTTTCATTCCATACTGCAAAACCAGTGGAAGTGTTTAAAAATAATCTTAAAACTTATATATTTAATTCGACATATTATACAAATGATGCATGAGTTCATTATATCTATCCGCACTCAAGTTGAGGATGTGTGTCTATCGCACGAAGCCGTCAGGTCAAGTGAGATAGATGCACACAGCCTTAACAAGGGCGGATAGATCGTATAATGAACGAATGAAAACATGCATCACATTATACTACAAAACTCCTAGATCCTTGTTTTTTGGCATAAAAAGAATTCATTCAAGATTGTTTCGTGACAGTATGGCAGACAAATAATCTTGTCGACCTGGTTACTGGTTCTAAAAAACTGAGCCCAGTATGGGCATATGCATGAACCTCATACACGTATGAAGTTCATGCATGTGGCGCCCATAGAGATCCTGTATAACAAAAAGTTGGATAGTACTGGAAAATATTGCATGCTTTTTCATGAAAAAACGTGGGATATAGTCTCAGTAAAATGAATCACACGTAACCGTGCATGACCAATCATTTGATTAGGATCTAGGAGTGAGTTGTATAATATTAATTGTTCTGTCATTTTGTTATGTTCTATCTTACTATTGTTCCTTCGTTTAGAGTGCCGATGCTTAAATGTGATCTCTCTTTTCTTTTCTTTTTTTCCACAAGTGCACCTTCTCATATATCATTATTATCATTCTAAGCTTGATTGTCAAACAATAACTGTTTTTGGTTCTTACTTCCTGGCAGTTCATCACTGACATAATCCAAGACGTCACTGTTGTGCCTTGAAAGGAGTCCATCCACATCTCTACAATGTAACAAACATAAATACTCGTTCAGATATGTTACAGTGAACTACCCCCCCCCCCCCCCGAAAAAAAAAAAAAACAATGCTGCAGGATTTTTTTACATATAAATGCGAGTAACAACGATCCTGCACATCTTTACTGAGCTGTGTGTTATTAGATACAGACATGTGAACATGTCGTCATCTTGTGAGAAAAAAAAAACGCCACGGTTTTGCCGTGTCATATCTGAAAGAGGCTCAATTCATATAGGAATCTTAGAACTATGTGTATCGATAGCGAAATGCACATAATCTATTTCCATATTATATCAATCAATCAGTTTTACCTTGATACAGCATCACGCCACAACTCTACTCTTATCAATACACAGGAGGTGGATCATTTCACATACATAAATATTTTTACGCTATAGAAAAAAAAAATCTTTTTTCTTTTCCAAGCTCTTTAAAACTTATATACTTTTTAAAAGATTTATGCTGAATATGACTGCAAGGAAAGACTTCCCAAATGTTCAAAAAGTACCTCTAAGAATAAATATAATCGTCATCAGAGAAACCTTAAAAGGCTTACCGGTAATTGTATATTGAATAAAGATTGCAATGTACTTTGCCCTTGTGGAAGATTAGCCCTTCTACTAAAATCTGCTACAACTGTTATTTGATTTAAGTCTTACCGTATACTACCCCTTCATTCCTGAACAAGCCAAACTTTTAAATCAGAGCATGCAGCTATGGGTTACAACTCCTCTGGCTCTCATGTATGTTCAATCGTTTTTCTTTCTTTTCGGTTTATTAAAGGAACATCCCTTTTGATAAACAAACATTACACACATACATGTAGCTGCATTGTTCAAGATCATGTAAAAAAAATCCAATAAATTCATCAAAAATTCTCAAGAAATTAAAATTGGGATTAGAAAAGAAGAATTGTTCAACAAATTGCATTTTAAATTGATAATGGTGCTCTGCTCTTCCCAATACCCCCATGAGGCCTTAAAAAAAGAAGATGTTGTATTGCCCTTTAGGTGCTTAAACATGGGTCAGTCGGTCAGAAATCTTGTTTTTCTTTTTAAAAAATTCTTCTTTTTACTCCCTCTTTGGGCTGACATATTCCAGTTTTGTATGCTTTGTGGTAAAAACTGTTACAAACAAAAAAACTTTTCTAAAAAGCAGACTGTAGATTTGAAAATTTTTGAGTCAGGCGCAAAGGGCAATACAACATCATTTTTTTTTAGGCCTGATACACCTTCCAAGGGGTCTTTGGTTGGCTGAAAAGTATCCACCCCCTTCCCTATCCCAACCGATTTCTTACCTGCCCTCGTCCTTTGCCCTCTCCCTCACACTCTCCAGGAGCATTCTGATGTGGGTCTTAAGGTAGTCTCTCATCCCAGGGGGCTCTGGAAGAACATTGACGGGGGATGCAGGGATGTCTTCTTCTGTCTCCGCCCGATAGTCCTGCCATATGCTCAGCAGATTATCAACCTGAAGAAGTATAGCATTGCAAGTAAACATAACCATGTAAACTGTATTTTACTACTAGCTGACAGGGTGTTAAAAGTAATTTATAATAATAATAATAATAAGAAGAATAGTGGGTTCTTGTATAGCGCTCATGTCTGTCAGAATTGACACTCCTGGCGCTCCTGATTATTACCCTGGCTTTAACAGGGCTGCCATTACAGCACTCTAGCATTTCAAGGTATTAATTCCTGCCTAGTACCCATTTACGTCACCTGGGTTGAGTGTGGCAAATGAAGATCGATGCCTTGCCAAAGGACATTTGTGCCGCGGCGGAGCTCTAACCGCGGGCCTTGTGATCGACAGTCCGGTGACATATCCACTCGACCACGACATCTCTAAACATTTAATAAATTCACATCTTATTAATGTACATCAATGTAACATTATAAATGTCATTCATTAATTTTGGCCAAATCTATAAATCTCATGAAACTATGATTCTTGATCCCATTACATGTACTGTATGTTTGTAAGGCAGATGCCCATTTCAACAAGCCCATAGAATAAAAACATGCACTTGCATCTGGGCTACACAACTTCATGAACAGCTTCAAGAGTAAAAACCTTTTTAAAAGCTAAATCATCTGTCAAATAATCCCACATGAACATAAATTTAAAAGCTCTGAAATTAAATCAGAAAGAGATGATGCACTCTTAGTCATAACATCATGCAGGATATTGTCATCCATGAATGAACATTGATCTTTACACACACAAAAAGGGCAATACCATGCGATACGTATTTAGAGTTGACTTAGAAATAAATACTGCGCTGTCTTCAGGTTCAGTGAGATAAGGTTCATTCGTGTGTAGGATTAAAACAATTTCAAATGACAAATTACACAAAATATATTCATATTTGTTCAAACAATAGCTGAGGAACAAGGAACATTATAGGGTTTTATCAATTGCTGTTTGAAAAACTTAGCAATATAAACCAGAAGCTTTCTTATCTTTTTTTCTGTATGGAAGTATTACATGTACTATTTAGTATGGTAGTATTTACTGGGACCAATTTATGTGTAGAAGCATTTACTACCATACAGGTAAGATTTTTTTCCTTCCATTTCATTTCTTTTTCCTCCAGAGCACAGGGGTGACAGTGAGCACTAGAAATAAAATAGTTTTTTTTTCTCCATCAACCACCCTTCCCTTGATTACAAAAAAAAAAAGAATTCAGGGGGGGGGGGGGGGGGGAGGCATCTAACAACGTTCCCTCCTTTTGAGTAAGAAAATTGGGGGGAAATTGGGAAAAATCAGGGTAAAATCGGGAAAAAGAAGAAGAAAAATCGGGGGGAAAAATCGGGGAAAAAAAAATCTGGAAAAATAAATATAATAATCAGGAAACTGATTTAAATCGGGTAATTATCAGGCCTGAGAGCAGAGGAAAACAAATGATTATTACCTCTTCATGCAGTTCCAGACTCTGCTCGACAAGGGAAGAGCCGAGAATATCTCTGATGTCTGGTCTTTCTCCAGGTGACACCAACTCCTCCACTAAGCGCCAGAGGGAGAGAGGCTTCTCATAAGCCCCCATCATGTTAGCGTTCATATCTTCCATGTCTGAACATCTCTGGTTCATGCATGAACAGGTCAATATGTTGCTTGTGCATACAGATAGGGCATGTTCAGACAGCAGCTGTTTTGGTGAATGTTGGTGTGTTCACACTATGGCAATGTTTCCAGTGAAAAGATTATAGACTATCCACTCCTCAGGACTCCTCAGTATATATTTTGTAAGATGGAATGATAGTTTACGTTACTATATGTGCTGCTGAAATGGCCCCTTGACAGCTGGAGATTACCATGGACTGAAATCTGTAAATAACAATAGAAACCAATAGTAACATTTCATTAATATATTATAGACCCATGGGTAGACAAAAGTGCCCACATGTATGTCCCCTCGAGATCCTTTTCTGCACAAATGCACAAATGCATCAAATATATAACACATGCAACAAACACAACATTTGTGTCTTGTGTATCAGTTCATGTAGATTTTAAATAAATAAACAGATAAATAGGCCCTAGGCAATGTTTTGTTAATGTGTTTTTTTTTAGGAATCTCATTCACAAGCCGACAATCTTATGACTGCAGTAAACTAAACCACAGAAGTCAGTAGATACACATGAAGAGCTCGGGTTCCAAAAGGTACAAAATCGGTTCCTTTTTCTTTCAATTTCGGTTCCAAAAGTTACTAGATCTAGATCGAGTCCGTACCCACAAAAAATTAAAAAAATACATACACTACACTGTATAATTCATGAAAAATATTTGTGCAGGATTAGATTTTTTTTAAAGAGTGGTTTTATTCTTGTATCATTATCATACAACAGCATGAGATGAGATTTAGATGACGTCATACGCAGCAAGAGTTTAAAATATGGTGCAAGATTTTCAACATGGATGTGGATTTTGACCCATAATTTTCTGAAATGGGACCATTAAACAGATTATTTCAGTCAAGTTGGTAAGTGGAACCGATAATAGCCTAGGGCGAGTCTCAGATCCTCATTGACAGTAGATAACTTCACACAGGCGTGCACCCGCCCGCAACCCACCATCAGTCTGCACTTGTACAGTGCAGCAGTTTGCCATGAAACCTGAAGTGAAAAAGTGTATACTAATATCAATGTTTTTCTGAAAAATACTCCAAAAATAACAAGTAAATTGACACGAAACAGGTAATAAACATAGCGAATTTTATTTTATTTTTTATTTTATTGAATATTTACTTCATTTTGGGTATTTTTTAGTAGGGTATTTCGACGCCGGAGTTACGGGTCAAATGTTGGATAAATGGATAGGTTTCTGAACAAGCGCCGATTTGCCTCTAGACCTAGATGTCTGATTTGGATAACAATAACAAATATTATTTGACTGGCTTAACTTTCGGGAGATGCCACATAATTGCCCTCACAAGACTCATAATCTTGAAGCCCTGGGGCAATATCAGTCTAGTTTGGGAAACATATGTTGTATCTCCCTCAAGCCTCAAGGCCAGTCAATATGTATTTGGGCCCCGGCACCCCCCCCCCCCCCCCAACTCAGTGTTATTTAGGGTACGCATATGGTCGTTCCCTCTTTTTGAAAGCACCCCCTATCTGAGGACTGCCAACATTTCCGAATCCCCTTTCGCGGGCTGTTCGCGGGCTTTTCCTGCCTTGGAGACACCCCCCTAAATCAGGAAAAATGCTCAATGTACCCCCCTAAATTTGAAATAACTTCTCAGGAGTCCAAAGAGATGAGAGAAGAAAAGAAAAATACCACCTTTTTAAAGAAATCTCCGGGTGAAAATTCAAATAGATCCTCTACACCCCTTTTTTTACAATTCTCGGGCCGGACTTTGTCGCACGAAAAGTACCCCTTTACATTTTGGCAACACGCATGCGGTCATTTCGACCCCTGAGTGGGGGGGGCTGGGCCGGGATTTGGGCATAATTTTGTTGGTGAGATCCACTCCACCGTACCCGCACAGGAGGGCCTATAGAGTAGAGTCTCCGGTTTGCGGCATCGCCCGGTTTGCGGCCAGGGGTATTTGTTTTAAAAATAAAATGAATATGACTCGATAATAATCATTGAAACCTACCATGGATTCCATGGTAAGTTCTGCTTTGCCGAAAACGTCCGTAGCAGGTGCTCCTGTCGGTACGGAGTATCCATCAGCGATGTCGGAAATCTACGGCACCAGTCGCCGATGAAAATTCCAGCAGGTGCTAACTTTTAAGTTAAGAGATCGAGGCATGACTAGATCAATATTGTAGCTCTATTTGTCCGATATTTGTCCGATTGGAGGTGAAATTTGATGTTTTTGTGGAAGTATGATGGCTGTGGTCTGTCTCCTATCACAGATATTTTGATTGTGCCACCGCATGGCCAGTTGCATGGGGTGGCCACAAACCGGCACATAATTACATGTTTTTCTGGTTTGCAGCGTGGGGGTGTTAATACACACATAACATGCGGGATCGTGTATGATGGTATGTGTGCTGATGTGTGTACCCGCTATGACCCGATAGTTTCTAGTAGTACGTACCCCCGTATGGGATGATCCATTCGAGGAAAAGGTGAAATTGTTTAAAACTTGACAAATTTACCGTAGCAACAGATAAACATGAGAATTTGGGTTACCCGTAGTAATTTGGTACATGCTTTCATCGTGACGTAGCGCATAAAGCTTTGTGACGTACGCGTGCCGTAAACCGGTAATGCGTGCCCGCAAACCGGGAACTCGAAGCATTTCGAAACGTGGTCAATGCTGACCACGTGTGGGTCAGTTAGGTTATTTGTGACTTCTATTTAATAAGTAAGTATATGGACTCTTTATTGAGGGTATTGAAGTATTCTGTGAGTATTCCAATAAAAATAGAATCGGCAGTTCCCGCCGATCGGCCGCAGACCGGAGCCACTACTCTAGTCGGTTTCGGTCTCTAAATCTAAAGAGTAAAGAGGAGCTAACCCCTAGACCCTCTACCCAATAATCAGAGGCTAACGAACGAAAGAGACAGAAATTTTCAGTCTACCTAGCTACCTAAGCCAGGCCTAAAGTGAAGCATATCATATTTCCATTCGGGAAAAATAAGAAGAGACGGCGGCGCGGACTCCGCGGAGCTAGATCGATAGTATTAGTAGGGTCTATAGTACAGAGCTCCCGCCGCGCTCCTAGCACTCAGCGAGCGATCAGCTCCGCTTCGAGGCGGGCCTCAGCTCCATTGAATTAGGTACCGTCCAAAACTATGACGAATGAACGAGTGACATATTTTGTTAAACGTGTTTATATGACGAATTAGGAAAGAAAATCCAAGAAACTTACTTACCAAAAAACAGGTTACTTTTTCTTCACCTAACACTTACGCACAGGCCTATCACAACAAATGTCTGGATTGTAAACGTCAATTATTCACACCTTTTATCTGAACCTCGGCCGGTAGTTTACATTGACAACGCAAAATGGCGACAGCTGTAGCGTCCTCTGCGGCCAAAACACAAAAGACATGCAAACATAAAAATGGATCTCAAATTTGGTTCTTTATAGAGGTCACCTATGCTGTGATTTCTATGATAATGGTGAATATCAGAGGCGGCCCTCCCGGGGGGCAGGGGGCACATTCCTCCCCCCTCCGCTTTTTCAACCACCCGAAAAGTGCCCCTTTTACTTCGACAAGATCCCATTTTCCTTTGCAATAAGTGTCCATTTTCCATTCTGATAAGTGCCCTTTTTAATCTCTAGTAAGTGCCCCTAGTTAGTTAGATAAGTGCCCCCTTCACCTCTGATAACTGTCCTATTTAAATCTGAGAGGTGCCTCTTTAAATTTGACAATTGCCCCATTTCCTTTGTAAGAAGTGTCCCTTCCTATTATAACTACCCCCATTTCAACTTGGATAAGTGCACCTTGTATTTTCACATTTGCCCTTTTTCCTTTCTAATAAGTGCCCGTTTTCTTAATGATAAGTGCCCCATTAAAAAAGAACCCCTTCCCCTTCTCATAAGTGCCCCTTCGCTGTTAAATGACCCTTTTCAGGTACGAGAAGTTACTCATTTCCACTTCAGATAAGTGCCCCCTTCACCTCTGATAAATGCCCCTTTTAAATGCATGCCCCTTTAAATATGTGTTCTTTAAATACATTTAAAACAATGCTTTAAGCTGAATTTATGTAATTTGTAATGAAATTTCTGTTTTCCTATACTTATCAACTATTTTCCTTCTAGACTGCTTAGAGGCAATTTGTGGTATACATGAGAAACTTAACTTACTATGGTAAAGTTGTAATTCTTAAATCACTTGTAATCTCACAATTTGTGTATGTTGCTTCGGTATTACCTATCCCTCAGAAACTAGTTGTTGATTTGAATAAACTGATGTATAATTTTCTATGGAATTCAAAAAGAGAAAAAGTCAAGAGAACAGTCTTAATTAATGATATTGAAAAGGGAGGATTGGGCATGGTCGACTTAAACTCTAAATTTCAATCGCTACATTTATCATGGTTTAACAATTTCTTTGAAAATAATTATGATATACCGTGGAAGTTTATGTTTAGATACTGGATTGAAAAAATATGTCCGTTGTTAGTAATTTTGAAAACAAATTGTTCCAGTAAAGACATGTTAAAGTTATGCTTAAAACAAAAAATACCTAATTTTTATGTTAACTGTCTCGTAACTTGGAGCGAACTTAAATATATTCAATTTCCACAAGTTATGAATGTTGAAAATCAAGTATTGTGGTACAATAGTAATATTACACATGAGAGCAAACCTCTCTTTTTTAAAGAATGGTTTAGAAAAGGCATTATAACAATGAATGACATTGTAGAAAATGGACGTTTTCGGCCAAGAGAACATATTTGTAGAGTGCTTGGCTCAAATTCTTTGCTAGTTGATTTTATGTATACGAAGCTTAAAAATGCGATCCCAAAAATGTGGATCGAAAGAATTCAAGATGTTAATTACGCACATGACGATAAAACAAATTCACAATTCGAAGGCGACTTATACGAAATAAGAACACTTGATTTTATAAGACTATCTTCAATGAAATCTAGCCATTTCTATAGCCTATTGTGTGACTTTAAGAAAAGAGAACCAGCTGTATTAACATTTTGGGAAGGTAAACTGAACCTTGTCATTGATTTTGATTGGAGAGATACATTAAAATTTAAGTTTAAGACATTGAAAAACAATAAAATAAAACAACTCAACTTTAAGACATTTCATAGGATTTTACCCTTTAGATACAATCTGTGCAAATGGAAAATTGTAAATGAAAACCTTTGCATTTTTTGTAAAACAGCAGAATCTTTCGTTCATGTTCTTTTAGAGTGCCCGAGCGTAAAGCTTTTCTGGAAACGTATTGTGGAATTGATTGAATTGAACTTTAAAGAAAAAATTATATTAAACGAAGAATTATTAATTGCTGGTTTTGATTTCAAACATGCAAATGGAGCAGATATAAATACAATCGTTGCATATGCTCAATACGCAATCTATTTGATGTATATGTTAAATTATTTTCAAGGTAAACCATACAACAGCTTTTTCATATGGCATGTTTTTAAATACGAGTTACTCTTGGATAACATCTCGGATGTTGTTTCAGGGACTCTCGGGACATAGTATTTTTTTGGAGAGTTTTTGAGAGCTTTTGAAATAGCATCTGGGAACTAAGGAAAATCTTCGGGGATATTTTATATCACTGAAGATTTTCTCTTAATAGTTTAAGAAAATACTTAAAGTGAATGTAAAATTTTGTTATGATGTAATGATTTGTGTGTTGGTTATTTTTGTAAATGAATAAAGTACCTCTGACAAGAGGAAAAAAAAAAAAAAAATTGTGGTATACAAATATTGTGTTATTACTATATTATTATTTAAAATCTGATCGATGCCCATTTTCTTTTAACTCATGCACATTTTCCTTTATTACAAGTGCTCCTTTTCATGTGCGATAAGTGGCTCTTTTCACCTCTGATAATTTCCCTTATAACAAAAAATATTTTTATCTTATAAATGCCCCTATCAAAATCTGATAGGGGCCCCTTTTCCGTCGACAAATGCCCATTTCCTATTCACATGATTGACTTTTTTCATCCCTTGTGGGTGCCCCATTTTCACCTCTGATAATTACTCTTTGTACTTTGGCACATGCTCATTTTCTTTCCTGATAAGTGTCCCCTTTTTTCCCCATCATTAAACGGGCCTTAGCTAATTTCAAGCGACTGAGAGCAATTTTCCCCAAAGCTCGCTCGCTATATACGCTCGCACGCATAATGATATGCTTATGTTATGCTATGTTATGATTATTGATATGCTCAGTCTTCCGTTATGAGAATGTGCTTATAACCCCATTAGGATTGGGGTTTTTCCTCTTTATAAGATGTAATTTTCGCACTGCGACCTCACACACATCTTAAATTTTCCCTCGCTCGCTCCGCTCGCTCGCAAACAATTTTGTAGACAATCAAACCCAACTGCAAAGCATGATGCTTAAGCAATATAGGTGTATGAAGTGAAACAAGTGAAACCATCCCTGTTAATTGTAATCACAATGTAGGGGTATATACCAATGTCTAAAAAATTGTCTATTTTCGCTTTGAGATTTCCCTTTGTAGGTGCCCTTTTTTCTTGGTGCCCCCCCCCCCCCCACTTTGGAAGTCGCTCGGCCGCCCCTGGTGAATATAGCACTGTTGGTGGAGCTATTTCTTGCATTTTCTTTGTGTTTTTATTTGTGGAAACTGCCCCCTACCCTATAGTCTCCGCTGCGTACAGTCATGGTTCAAGTTTTTGAAAATTTTGAAAATTAGATGGATAGCAGTTCTTTAAAATGTTGATTATTTGGATGCCCCGGTGGATGTATTATAAGCACTAGAAAATTTAGCCCCTAAAATAGTATAGCTGCATGCGCCCATGAAAATCTAAAAATATGCAGTTCTAATATATAATTTCAAAACGGGAATAGCAAATCGGTCGATTGTGGACGAGAATCATTGTTTTAAAGCCAAAGTAATATCAGTCTTGAGAGGGCGCGTGTTGAGCCTATGGGAAAGTTTAGGGTTAGGGTTAGGGTTAATTCAAGACCCCTTTAAAAAAAAAAAAGCTCCAATCTGTGCCGCAGAAGAAAATAACGCGCATGAAATCTAAGTACTTTTTCTTAAATTTTGGCTAAGAAAAAATCGTATTCTATAACAGCAATGGGGACTTAAGAAATTTGCCTTAAGATTAAGAAGGATTCTTAGATTTTATCTAAGAAAAAGGACTTAAGTAGCATGTCGTATTCTAATACAATCGAGATATCTAAGATAAGTAAGAAATCTACCCTATATTTAAGCATACTACGAGGATGCTTAAATGGGGCTTTGGCAACCGCTTCGGGTTTCGATCAAATGGAATAAAAACAATGCATGCAGCGCGAGCGCAGGTTATCAGTTGACCTATATAACAACGTAAGCTTCGCGTATACAGCGTCGACGGCGCAGCGCGCAGGATCGCCATAGGCTCTGTGTACTTGTACATAGTACATGTATGTTTGTTTGTACACAACTAAGCGAGTAGTAGCATACATGCATAACACTAAATCATGACATGGCTGTCGTATATAAAGAAACCGTCTCTTACTTTATTAGTCTTTGGCGCTAAAGTATGGAAACAGGGAATAATGTGCAATCGGCATAATATTAGGTGAGACAAAATTCCAACATTCAGAGCCGTAGAGGACAGTGGAAAGGACACAGCTCTGGTACAATTTTAGCTCGGTCTTGGTGCTGTACTGCTGTGATCTCCATATATTGTTGAGCATTTTGAGTGCATTTCTGGCTTTATTAAGACTGTTCACTGGCGTACCTATGGGGGGGGGGGGGCAGGGGGGGCAGAGTGCCCCCCCCCTGACGGGCTCCAGGGGAAAAAAAGAAAAAGGGGAAAGAAAAGAAAAGAAAGGAAAGGAAAGAAAGAAAAAAAAGGAAAAGGGAAGAAAAAAGGAAAGAAAGAGAAAAAAGGAAAAAAGGAAAGAAAAAAGGAAGAAGAAGAGAAAAGGAAGAAAAAGGGAAAAGAAAAGGAAAGGAATAAAAATGGGGAAATTTATTTTTTAAAAAAGACCATGGCCGTACGCACCAAGGGGGGGGGGGGGGGGGCAGTTGACCCCAGATATTTTGAAAACGTACAGTTTTTTTCCTGAAAATGTAGTGTACGCCTTTAATTACCAAATCCTTCAATTCTACTTTTGAAAATGCAAAAGTACCCTCATGACCAGTTCGGTCGCTCGAACTCCCTTCACTCCTTTTGCTTTTGAGATTCTTCGAAAACTTTTAACGCATCTTTCCCCCTCCCCCACCAGAAAAATATTCCGCATACGGCCCTGAAAAATTAAAACAAATGAAAATAGGAAAATATAAGTGATATAACAAATTCGAAACTCTTCGCTGGCGCAAACTGCTTGCTAGCCTATTTTGTATTAAATGTTTTCACTTGCTCGTCCC